ATATTTTCTAAACCTTATTTGTTACAATTCTCTGTTCCGTCAGCATGCCTCTCATTCAATCCACTGACCTGGCAGCATTGTTGCAACCTGCACTGCCAGATTGTCACAAGAAGACAGAGAAAAGTATTGTGTTTGACGCATTTTAAATGCTTATCAACAATCCCATTAATAATGTAATACATCACCCCGTGACTAACTGCAGGCAGTAAGAACAATCAGGAAACATAAATGAATGAAGAGTAACAAAAGTGCTTTTCTGGCTGCTCACTCCATAGGACCCCATATCACAAGGAAAGTGGTTTGAAGATTGAATGTCATTGTTCCCTTGTGAAAGCAAAATTAATATTGAGGATTTTGTTGACGTTTTGATATGCAAGGGTGGGAAATAAAATGCTTACTCAGCTTGTGTGGTGAAGTCCATTTGTTCAAGGTTGTGACTGCAGAAATGAGTAATACAAGACAGGCCCATGTGCTGTGGCCCACTCATCTGTGAGCTGTCTCCCACAGAGCTAGTTGAACATCCAAGTACTTCATCAGGTTTATTTGCAATGGCAGCAGCCTGGACCTTAATGAGCATGATGGTGACTTTTACCTAAAGCAAATTAACACAAGACAGACCTGTGGAAAGGACCTCTGTCAGCTTCTTCGGGGCTTGCAAGACATCATACCACTTTGCCGTTTTCATTCTACGGACTGTATATAGACCTAATGCTGCGCATTTTAGTTTAAAACGGTATCTTCTTATTCTGTCAGCAGCATATCAAGGCTGCGGCAGAACAGGGCTGAAGAGTGCGCTATGTAATCCATTATATTCACTATAGCAAAAAAAAAATGCAGGGTAGAACTCAAGTTAAAAAATATTAAAAGAGATTTCATTACTTACTATATAACTGCAACCTCAACATGTTTCACAATTTATGGTGACTTCATCTGTGAGGGCAAAATAAAGCCAATTAAATCATTCTGTAAATGATGCATAATCCTGTTCTGAACTGGATGCCTTCTAAGTTTAAGCAACAAGATAGAAACATTCATCCATTCATAGCTGAACTCTTTAAATGCAAGAGCATGTAACATAAGCTTATGAAATCCATAAAGACTGGTTTGGCCTAACAGTCTTAGGTAGTGTTTTCCTGTTGTCTTTTGGCATTATTATAAATCCTGGCCACATCATCATCTTCTGACCTTTTCATCAATTTGATGGTGGGCTGCAGCGTGAATAATAAAGCCAGTTTTCCTTTGCCTATAAAGCAAAATGTACAGCCTATATTTTTTAGATTGTGGTTTTGAGACCGTTGCAGTGAATTAAAGTGTTATACCATTATAATGCAAGGGAGTGGCAGACCACTTTGCTTCACGATACAATTGTTTCCAAAATGGTTTCCGATGCCCACAGTAGAATTAATATCCTGCATGTGATATAATCCACCATTCCACCACTTAAAAATTCTGCTTACTCCACTGTTTCATTTTAATCGTTTGCTTTTTTTTAACAGCATTTTTTTCTGTTATACGATTTAAGAATCGCCAGTTGTGTTTTTCACGTCTCGCCTCATGACTATGAACTCTGTAACCTCACACAAGAGTGTGACTCCTCCGATATGCTCTCCTTCAAGCCATTTGTCTTTTAACACATCGCAGGCAGCGCAGATTAAATGAGAGGACACGACAGAGTAGAAGAGAGGGAGGTAGATTTCCTTTCATTTATGGGCATCCAGGTTTTAGGGATATTTTGCACTGGAAAATATTCTTTATTTTTTAGGAGACAAGGTATTTATCTTATCTTATTTATTTCTATATTTATTTTCTTGGCCGGTTGAGGCAAAATGTAGGGTTTCAGGTACTGGGTTAGCATTCTCAGCTTTCTGGGTCTTAAGAACCTAGGCCTCCAAGAAACGGTGCTCTGTAAATAGCTTTGTTTCATGTTGTATGGATGTAACATTTCATGTCCTTTAGTTTGTGTTATTGTTAATAAATATTTGTTTGTCCTAGTTTGCCTCTGATTTATTACACTTTCACCAGAGCCGTGACAGCGGATAAAGAACTTGCATGCCTCAAATTAGACCTACAGTTCAGCTATATCTTTGACCTATTGTGGTTAAGTGTATTATTTTGTTTTCTCACTCTTTTTTTTTCTCAGACCTGCCTCAGACCCTATTTGTGGCAGTTTTAATCTAAAAATTTTCAGTTGTCTCCAATCATGTAATTTAGTTGCAGTGGTATACATGCATATTTGGTGGGGGGGAGAGGGACCTCAGGTGATTGAACAATAACATTTTATGAAAATAATGTCATAATGCATAACAGCTGTTTTTAGTCATTTAAAATTTCTAATTGCTTATGTATTGGATAAATTAAGCATTTTAACACAAACCTTCTTTATGTATATAGCTGCTACAGTGTTTTGTGAGCTGATATAATAATAATAATTGCTTACACTTATATAGCGCTTTTCTGGACATGTCCAAAGGAAACAAACTTACATACAACATTATTCATGATACAATTTCTTAAAATACTAGCTTGTTTTATAGTGTTTTAAAGTACAGTAAATGCACCCACAAATGATTGATGTTTTTCCATGAGCAAGAAACTTGCGGGATGCCTAACAAAATGCTGTACCAACAATTCTGGAGCTTTTTGATGTCGTATTCTGTTTCTTCACAGTAACACACTTAATGTCTTTCCCTAAAGCATCATACCAGGCCATAAGTGGTTCAATATTCAGTCAGTCTTCTAAAGTTCTTTTTCAATTTCTCTGTACTCAAAATGTTGTCCCATTTGGTGACTCTTTCCTGCAGAAACCGAGCACAGTCTTATCAGCCCTCCCCGTCATCAGTCCTGAAAATGTCTCCTCTTTAAGCCATCCTCACGATTATTGCTCTGCAGTGTTTATCTTCTGAAAATTCCTTTTTTCACTCTGTCCACCACACTGGGTTTAATTGAGTCAAATTCTGTTAATGTGGAAAATGGGAGCGAAGACTTGAGCATTGTGGAACCTACAGGGTTCCCACGCTCATGGCAGTCCTGGAAAAGTTATGGAAAATGAAATTTCATTTTCCAGAGCTGGAAAAGTTTTGAAAGAAAAAATGATAAAATATCCATTAAGTTTTGGAAAAGTCATGGACATTTTTTTTAATTGACCCCAAATTATCATGGCTGTATCATGTCATTTTGTTCATAAGTTAGCAAACTTTTAAAAACAGGCTACGGTGTTGCTGTTGCCTACATGACACATTATAGTGTCGCGTCAGACCATCTCGGGGAATTTTATAGTGAGCTGTAGGCTAGCCTGGCGCCCATGTAAAATGCCGGGTAAATGTGTTTTCAGTAACCTCTGGTTAGCACATGAAAAATATAAGCTATGGCTCCAGAAAAATGAAGACCAAGGACGTTCGAGATGTAAATTATGCAGGAAAAGAAGTTATGGAAAAGTCATGGAAAAGTTTTGGAATTTTGTTGGTAAAAATGAGTGGGAACCCTGAACCCGTACCTCACTATAACTGGGTTTGCCTCCCAAAACTAAATTACACTTACCTTACAAGGTAACCTTATTCACGTTTCTTTACACACTCGGAAGCTTTAATTTTTAGTTCATGAGCACTGCTCTCAAGATGCCATTATAATGTAGCCATTAAGGTTTGATCATGACTCCTTGCCATTGGTGTCAAACTATAGGAGAGCAATTGTGTATCAGTGTTGGGGAAAGGCAAAAGAAGGTTGTGGTTGTAGAAACAAACTTTTCCAGTGACTTGCTAAGGTTCATTGCAACCATTAATCCTTCCAGGACTGATTGCTCCTTTAGTTCACACTAACAAATACCTCTCTAACCAGCTGTATTGAAATGCTTCAAATTTACATGATGTGATGGCCTCAAAGTATCATTAGGGAGTTGAATTTAATTCTTTCAGGATTGTCAAAAAGTGTGGAATGAGTGTTTCTCATTTCTATGAAAAAAAAATCCTGTTAAATTCTGAAAGGTTTTTCTGTGTGGTGCTTCTACACACAAAAGATTTGCAAACAAGTTACACATCCCAGTTACCAAGCGTGTCATCCAGGCTGTCATAGTTAATTGACTGAGTTCTTTCATTGGAGTTCGTGTCTGGTTTAGACCGTAAAAAATACAGATTACGTAGCTCGTATGTGTTAAACACAATTCCAAATATGCCTGACATGGCATTTTTTTTTTCATATTGGTTGTTCTGGGTAACATATTCACAATTTTGCTTGTAAAATTGAAATTCGGCCCACCAAGCTACCAATTGAGTGAATCACTCTGTGCTCCACACAGTCACGCATGAGCCACTAAGGAATGCTTCGAGTGGAAACTCTTAATGTCTCTTTCAGGAAAGTGCTACTGAATATTCAGTTTCTGAAGCATGCACTTAGAACACTTAAATGCCGTGTTCACATTATTACAAGGTAGTAGGCAATGCTAGCGAAAGAGAACAATTTGTTCCTTGGCAGTTTTAACAGGATTAAAGAAAACACATTTATGATAATTTTACTAGGTTTCATTTTGCCGCGAACTCTTGCATGAGCTGGGATATATAGGACTGTCAGAGAAACTAATACATGGGCCCTGTTCTGCCTCTCGCATGGATACGCCCTTGAGGCACAATGTCAAATTGGAAGTGGCAAATTATCCTTTCACCTTGATTTATGAAAAATAAATCTGCAGTCTCTCGCATTTAAGAACCTGTGTAGTACTTGAGTCTTGTAATTACAGAAACACTCGACATGATTTGTTCTCCTTCAGGTTTGGGTTTTGCCAAATGTTCAGCTCTTTCCAGTAGGTAGACTTCCACAGGTTTTCATTTCACCGTTTGAAGTTTCACATTGTTTTCCTAGCTTCAGTTATTTTCTGTGCGTTGTAATTTTATGGCAGAGCACGTCGCTGAGTTTTGAATCAGAATGGTTTTGTATGTCCAATCTTGTTTCAGTCTGATGCTGCCATGCTTGAATGGCTTCGCTTAGCTGTGATGTCCCTCACTTTTCAGGTGGTACTGGTGCGATGGAACGAGCCCTTTCAGAAACTGGCTACATGCGACGCGGATGGAGGAATATTCGTCTGGATCCAGTACGAAGGCAGGTGGTCTGTGGAGCTCGTGAACGATCGGGGTGCCCAGGTGAGGAGGCAGGGCTGGTTCCTTGATTTTTCCCCGCTAGGTGGAGGCACCATGTAGAAATGTTTGAAGGGAAAATGGTTTAAATTGGAAAGTTAGTCCATCAGCCAAGTAAAGATTCCAAAACCAGTAGCTGCTAGTGTCTAGTATGGTGACTAGATGATGTTTTCATACTGAAAATCCTATACTGGTGGCGAATTGACATTTATTCTTTAAAAAAACTCTTGTCAGAGAGTTCTAATTCAGGCTTCTCCTCACTGGTGGAGGTAGTGGAGGCCATGGGGTAGTTTCCATTTTTCTGGAACTTTCTTGTGCTTGCAGAGAACCTCATTTCCCTGCTAGATTTTTACAACATGGCTAGATGATTTAAGAAAGAAATAATCCATAGCATCTACGTAAACACCAGTGCTAAATTCTGTATAAAAAAGTTTGAAAGAACTCCCTTCTAAGGGTTAGATGGTGCTTAAATTTTCTATACCACAAAGGCTAAGGAAATTGTGAAAACAACGGGTAATTTATAATTATATGTTAATGCAACCTTTAATGTATCTAACTTTTTTGAATAAGCTATTAAAAAATAATTTGAATCTTTAAAAATGGAGTTGGGGGCCTGGAAATTCTGTGCCTGTGATCTTCAGGAAAGGCTAAGAATAGAATCCAAAATGCTGTTTTCCACGTAGTCGCTACTGGAATATTTTCTGAGAGAAGTCACAAGGCGAGAGACATACCTAGAAGACATGGCAGGGTAATAATGTGGGAGAGCTGTACTTCTCTTTTTATAGTCAAGAATGTCAGTTAAATGCCTCCAGTGTATTTCAAAATGCACAGTAACCGCGATCTCAGTCCCCCTGTGCTGTAATGCAAAAATAGTAACAATTAAAAATGTTTCATGCTGCAGTACACTATCTAAATATATGAATGCTAATGTTTGTGTACTCATAATATGTGCTTTTTTATAACTGCACCGCTGTTCAAATGTTTTCAGAAAGGAATATAATTCATATTGTAAGTGGACCAAATTAATTCTGCTTTAATATGTTTTCAGTTTTAACTGGTTTTCTTTAGGTAGCACACCAGAGTCAAGTTGCTCTGAATGTAATGAAACTGTTTGTCAAAGTCAGAGAGTTGTAGTGTGGAGGCTCTCTCTAATGTGCCCTCTGAAAATAGATATTGGATGACAGGATGGAAAGTTGTTTTTTTAGAACGTCTAGACCTACATCTTGTATTCTGACAAACACAACAAATCAAGTCCTTTGTAACTAGAGCACTGTAGAAGCACAGCGAGTAAAAAAAGCAATATTTCTGTAATTTGCCTTCAGTACATGCATTTACTGCTTCTTTTTTCTTTTGTTTCCTCTGTAATATGTAAGAGCCAGATTTAATTTTACTTTACAAGCTGTATTGAAAGTATAGGACTTGGACAGGGTTGTAGAAATCGTAGCAGGTCGCAGTGGCTCTAATGAAATTGTAATCTCCTGAGAGGTGCTACCACATGTGATAAGTCTGTGGCCTATTATAGCTTGTCTTCAGCAGACAAGGAAGGCCTGAATCCACAGGTTTTATGAATAAATCTCTAAAATAATCTGTAGCTAGAGCATTGTTACTTAATACTTGAACAGGCAAAGTGTAACTAGACCTACTGCACAGGGAGCCAGTGCAATTTAAATGGGACAGAAGTTATGTGATGATGCAGAGTACATTTAGTATACAAACCACACAATTGTGGACATTTACAGTATGCTATTTAGTATTTGGAAGACAGGGAAACATTAAAATGTCCTAGTAATTTAATCTTTATGAAGCAAAGTACTATATAATGTATGAATATTTCAGGATCAAATGTATGGAGCATGTTTGAACTGTGCAGTGTTCAACAAAGTGAAGTGTTCTTGTGGGGTTCTTAACGTTAAAAAAAAAGTAAAAAATGACAGCAGGTTTCTATCGATGATTTTATTTCAGCAGTACAACAAAAACACTGAAGTAACCAGCTGTGAAAAGTGGATGTTAGAAGAATATGAAAAAGAATCTTTCACAGTAATTAATCTTAAATTGTTGTTGTTCTACATTCCTGTCTTCCTTGGAAGACACAAAAAAAAGGGCAGAAACCTCAGTGATAGTATCGCAGTCAAGTTTGCTTGAGTACCAAATCAGAATACCAGTGATTCCCAAAGAGTATAATGGCAAATAACTTGACCAAGCGGCTACATGTATACACCGAAGAGCAAGGATCCCAGCACAGTACCCTGTGGAACACCCTGACAGCCAGATCAATGAACGGATATCGCAGTGATCCTCAATTTTCACAGCAGGATGCCTTGTGTCAAAAGCAGCACTTAAATACACAAAAAGAAGAATATTAAGTGGTCCAGAGTCAAAAGACATCAACAAGTCATTATCTCAGCCAATTTCAGGGCTTTTTCATTCCTGTATCTAAACCTCAAATGAAAAGGTTCACATACTGTAGGTGACAAGATGCAGAATGAAATTGCAGTGGAAACTGCCTCTGCACACTTCAGAATTTGTACAAGAAAAGGTTGGGAATAGGAAGGTAGATGTTTCCTATTTAGGTCCAGGCCAGGTTTGAGGTATTGTATAGGCTATTTGAAATGTGTTTTTTGGTTGTTGTTGTTGTTTTTCTGCTTTTATTTAAACAGTGGAAAAGAATTGGTGGATAATTTCCACCATCTAGGCATTTTTGTGTCAAAGTTATGAATTTACCACAAACCTCTGAATTAAATAAGCATTTAAGCAAGATCTAAAAATGTGCTCGAAAGCCATAACATCAGGATAGTACCTGCAGTAGATTTACAGTAGATATTTTTTCTTTAAGAAATTATTTAAGTTTACATGATGTTTGTGTTTTCATTTCATTTGGATATGAAGTAAAAACATATAAAGACTGCATGATAATCTTGGTATAGGACATGATGTGGCATTCAGTTGTGAGTGAGCATGCATGGCAGTTAAATACTAAATACTTAATTTGTAAGTTAAATAATTAGCTTTTTGCTCTTGGTACTTGAAAGAGAACCAGGAATAGGATGTACAGTATGCCTGTAATATATATTTTTTTGTGTATCAGACTTAATATACCTGAGTGGGTTGCTTGGAATTTTAAACAAGAAATGATTTTTTAAATTAAAAATTATTTAATTAAAGAGCGATATGTTCTTTCTTCTTCAAAGGTCAGTGACTTCACCTGGAGCCATGATGGGACCCAGGCCCTCATCTCCTACAGGGATGGCTTTGTGCTGGTTGGCTCAGTCAGCGGACAAAGACATTGGTCCTCAGAGATTAATCTTGAGAGCCAGATAACCTGTGGCATATGGACACCAGATGACCAACAGGTAGAGTTGTTCTCTGTTTTGAGTCTCAGTTTTCAAGAAAGAATGAAATTGCAGTGGCATAACAGATCAGTTTGTGTTAGTAAGGAGTTTTTTAGTTTAAACGCTGATGGTTAAAGTGCTGTGTAAAACCATTCTTATAGAGAAAATAAAGCTAAACATGAATTATTACTTATCCTTACTTTAATTATTCCAGCACACAAATAGAAAAGAGGAGAAAAAATTTGAAGTGTTCGTTCCTAAGGCATGAACTTGGACTTGACCAAATGCTGAGTAACATTTTTATGCTAAAACACAAAGTGGCGTATACATAGGTTAACAGCTGCTTTAGTACCTTAGAAGCTAGTTTCTTAAAAAAGATTTGAAATATTTATTTATTTCAAAATTGGAAATAAGGGGCGATTTTAAATCAAGATGTCTTTAAAGGCTACATACATGTTTATGAACAAAATGGATCTTACATAAGAATACTGAAATTACATCTCTTTAACTTAAATGTGTAACATTTAAAGAAGTCTTGATTATTTTAATAATCAGATTTACACCAGCATGATTGTTGACAGCCTTTTATTGAGATGTTCATTCATACATTAACAGTACAGGTTTTAGCAGGTGTTTAGTGTTGGTGAGAAATATTATGTTAATTAGTTTACAGCTCATTTAACCCTGTAATGAGAAATTCAGTTTTATCTTTATTAAAGCGACGACATTATGGCTAAACTGCAATGGAGCTCTTAGTCTGAATACTAATGCTGGAGGACTGAATAAATTGTCACCCTGAAATACGCAGACAACATTCTAATGAATTTAATTAGTTTCTGTTTGTTTTATATTGATTACATTCTGCTTTAAAGACACATGTATAACGCTGAAATAGAGCTGGAAACAAAGAATCAATGGGAAGAATGATATATCTAGCATTATGATAAGCGGACATATTTTATTATTATGTTTGTCTTCGAAGAACATAATCCAGAGCAATTGTACCCACAGCTCCTCAATAAATTGGTTGTGTGCTGTATTGGTTTATTTTATGATAGCCAGCTTCATTACTGCTCACTTGAGCAGTTGGTTCTATGGTAGAATTAATATTACACTGTAGACTTATTAAAGAACTTAAATATTGAAACCTATTCTCACTGTGAGAATTGCTCATTTCTCTTCACTTATTATGTATTATTACTCTAATCTACTTATTCAAATCAATTTTGAAATCTTGGAAAAAGTGAAAACCCATGAAGTACGTGGAATGGGGAGTGAAATTGCAGCAGACCGTCTAAAGAAATTATTAAAAGAAAAATTCTGAAAAATCCTGAAAAAAATTCTGAAAAATGTGGCGGAGCGGTGGCACTGTGGGTGGAAGGTTGCCGGTTCGAATCCCACGGTCGGCAGAGTAATCCTATTCCGTTGGGCCCCTGAGCAAGGCCCTTAACCCCAGCTGCTCCAGGGGCACTGTATAAATGGCTGACCCTGCGTTCTAAACCCCAAGCTTCTCTCTCCCTGTCTGTGTATCTGTGTGTCTCATGGAGAGAAAGTTGGGGTGTGTGAAAAGACAAATTCCTAATACAAGGAATTGTGTATTAAGATAAGATCTTATTTTATACTTCACTTTAAAGCACATGACACAAAGGGCATCAGAATACAGTTTTATTTCTCTCATTATTACTGGAAGAATTTGAAGTCGGTCTAGCTTAATTTCTGAATAGTTCTTCTCTCTTTGAGGTGCAAGTCTATAGTGAGTCATGCAAAAGAAGACTGTCACATCTTGTCAGTTTGCGTGGTCCAGGCTAACATAACATGAATGTCAGGATTGCTGAAGGCATTGTTTTATGCTTCAGAAACTACTATTTTGGCATTTGCTCACAGAATGTTTAAAAGTATTGCTATTTGCTCACAGAGAGCACAACAAACATCTGAGTCAATTTAAAGATGTTTTACTCTACAAAATATACTGAATGTTAATTTTCCTCCTGATCTTTATACCAGTTCTTAAAATCTGTCTATGTGATCACCTCTGTTATACAAAATAGTGAGATTGTTCTTAAAATTAAGTATTGTTGTTTTATAAAATGCTGAAGGAGACATTATAAATGCAAAAATTGCTAACGATTCCCCTATTCATTTGTATTGTGTATCACACCATATTTTCTGTTTTTATTTTGTGAAAACACATTGTAGACTGTTGCTTTATTGTTAGTGGGATAGATTGCGGCAGATTTGATGTGACTAAAGCAGATTTAAACTACAAGTGACCTGATCCTCTTAAACATATCAAGTTATTTTCTTTCCAGTTCAATCGCGGAAATGCTGTGGCATTTTATATAATGTCTGAACTGCCTGTCATTGTAAATGGGATATTTTGAGCTTTCTCAAATTCCTGCATTGATGTAATTTCCATATATAGTGTACATGTTCAGAATTGTGGGTCATTTCTATATTATTAGCTTTTTTTGTGGTGGCTGCTGCATTTTAATATTTATTTCATTTTGGATTGTGCCTCAAGGCCCAGCATTACACAGAACTCTCTGACATCCGAATGTATGCTACAAAATATTTTTGAGGTAATTTACTGTTCTTGAGAAAGTATTTGCCCCCTTTCAGATGTTCTTAATTTTTTATTTTTTTGAATGTTAACTGAGATTTGTATTTGACCAAGTTGGTATTTCTTGAATTGATTTCATGAACGTTGTCATCCAATGTCCTATGTCTCTGTGTAACAAGTTAACACCTTCCTAGTTCAATTAATTGAATTGAAGAGATAATTAGGGCCAGCTGAGCAAATACTCTGTTAAACAACCATTTGGGATTTGGGCCAGCGCGCACTGTAAGTCACCCTTAGAGTTTTAATAGCAATTCCAGCATCTCGGAAGGGTCCGGAAACACTGTGTTCTCACTGGCTCATGTGGACCCCTGCAGGTGCTGTTCGGCACCGCGGACGGACAGGTGATTGTGATGGATTGCCACGGGCGCATGCTGGCCCACGTGCTGCTCCATGAGTCCGAGGGCATTGTGAGCATGTCCTGGAACTACCCCAGCTTCCTGGTGGAGGACAGCAGCGAGAGCGACACGGACTCGGACGACTATGCCCCGCCACAAGGTAATCCCATTAACTGGGACGCGTCTCGCCAAGAGAACCAGTTTCCGAAACTTCAGGAAACCTTTCCAACTGGTTGTGTGGTCACAACCCACAGTTGTGTACTGTGCTGGATATTTAATGCTGTATTCCAGCAGTGCAGACCAGGATATTATTGTGCCGTTTGATTTTCATTGCCAACTGATTTCCCCACACAAAAGACCTGGAAATAGAACACATTTTGGTTTTCTTTTCTTAGATCTATTCTGCTACTTAAAATTACACACACAGCAATTAAGAAGTTGGTAAGTATTCTTTACAACAAAATCTGTGATATTTGCTTAATATTCACTTTATTATATGAAGCTCATTTAAAGCAGCTGCCTTTTTGTCTGCAATTTACTTGTTTGAGTATGACAAAAAGTTTTGATATGTACTGTATATATACAGTATAAATGCTTTTATCTATATTTGTGCACCTCATTACCTATGGAGTATGGAAGGACAAAGGCTATGACAGTGTATCTGGGGTCAAATGTGCTCTTCTGAATTTCTACATACAAAGCTGAGGTCTGTGGGCTGAGGGTAGTCACAGAGTGCTCATGGGATTGTGGCAAGTAGGAACATCACCAAGTCACTAAGGTGATCAGGGTCCCTCTTTGATTAAAAAAATATGGTGTTAATTATATTCCTCCGTTTGGAACAGCCAGCGGTGTGTTTTTATTTTTTAGTACAGGTGGTCAATTAGGAGTAGTTTTTCTGTGTTCAGGGCTGGGTTAGTACTGGGATGTGTAACTGTAATTGTTTTTTGTAGACTAGGAAGTGCTCTAGGAATTCATGTTCTTACAATGTTAAGCAAAGAATATGACTACTTGATTATTATAGGTCCTATCATTCGTAAGAACAGAGGTATTAACTGCGGTATCCTGGCTAAATTTGACTTTGAGCTGGCACAATCTGGTCAATTTATTTTTTTTAAGGCAGGAAATCCATTGTAAAATATTATTATTTGATATTATTGGAATGCAGATTAATCAGTATTGGTATTAGTGTATTGTTGACTCCTCAGGGGAGTTGTTCTTTACCTCATCAGAACAGGTCCAGCCACATACAAGTAATTAAGTGGATGGGTATACTGGCATGTTTACTTTCCAGAACCAAAGAATTGTGCAGTAAAGTTAAATTGACCATACTTGTTCCAGTAACACAAAACTAGGTTTAGCTGATGGGCTAAGATGTCATATAAATATATACATATACAAATTTAGAAAAACAATATTCATCACAGTATTCTTCCTTTCCCTAAAGAAAGCACTCTGTCATTGTATATGTGATCCAGATATCTCTCTATATTTCCTGCTTTTTTCATACAACGATGATAGTGATACTTTGGTTTCATTAATATACATAACAGTTTTTTGTCTTGCTTTGCCTGTAGCTTAACATAAATGTTTTTTTTTAATTGCACTCCTGATAATAGTAATTACTGTTTCATTCCAGAACTAAGACATTAACTTATACCTCTTTTTGGTGTTTCATCAGTGATGAATCATTTCAGTGTAGCGCTCAAGTATGTGTATATATATATGAAGCATGTATACTACTCCCAAGTGATTATTTTTGATAAATCATAGAGAGGTGCATGCTTTCTCTAAAGTAAAACTAGTGTTAAAGAATATTCTTCAAAGACTACATATGAAAACTTGGGTTCTGTGCTTTGAATGAAGAGTAACTTGAAATGTGTAGTGGACCTACTATAGAGATTCTGTATGATCTGTGCACTCATAAAAAATATTCACTAAAGACAGCTGCCAAAGATAAGGGTATGTAGTTGTCCAAATTCTTTGCTTAAAGATAATTTAGAAATCTGTTTTGGGTGCATCATTAAATGTGGTGTGTTTGATGGTAAGACGTTCTGGTGACATATGGTGAACATGCGTAAATAGCTTTGAAATCCTTGAGCACTGAATGGCCTTTATGAATTGCTGAATTTTGTTGAACTGAAACAAGTCACTGTGACTTTTCGAGTAAATGTTGTAGTGTAGCATTGTGAGAAAAACTTAGGGAAGGATGTGACACAGTTCTCAACTTTCAGAATATCTTTAAGACAAATTATTGAAATCTTTAAATGGTCATTCATTTTCCTAGATGGTCCAACTGTCTATCCAATTCCAGTACAGAACATCAAACCTTTGCTAACCGTCAGCTTCACATCTGGGGACATCAGTTTAATGAATAACTATGATGACCTCTCACCTGCTGTGATCCACTCAGGACTGAAGGGTATGTGCACCTCAGAAGGACTATAGTGATCATTTTCATCTGGTATTGTCTTGGTGTTTTTAGAGTATGAACACTATTGTCTATATAGAAAATTCTTCTATAGGTCTTTGATGAGTTTACAAATTGCCTTACGCCTCTTACTGTACTGTGGGTCTTTATCCCTCTGTTATATTTTATTTTTAAGGGTCTAACCATCAATGCAACACGGTATGCAGTAAGCTTTAGTTTTTTTATTTCTTTTTTCTTTGTTACTTTTTTATATATTCTAATTCTATTAATTAGAATGACAATACACACACTAAACAACACAAAGCTTAAACATATAACATACAAGTAAAGCTGTTTACAAACTATGTCTTTACCAATCAGACAAACCCTAGACTGCTACCAAATATTTAAATCCTATACAACACCTACACAGGCCAACAAGAGAGATAAATCTGCCTTCTAAACCAAACAGAATGTGATCCACAGTTAAATTTCTCTCTGTGCACTTGGATAATACAAAATTAAGGAGAATTTTATCTCCCCATTTCAACAAATGAACCCACTGACCCGAAGAGGCCATTTGTAACTTCGGGTTTTTTTATACAGGAAATCAAAGTCTCCTAAAATCAACAGAATGGCAAGCTCTCTTAACAAAGTTCAAATACTTAACTAGAATCTAGTGTTTATGGATGAGCTGGACAGTGACTTCCCACAGGCTCACTTCTCCCACTGGGTGCTTTCCTCTCTCTTCTTTCCGTGTTCTCTTGTCTTTTTCTTTCTTCTGTCTGTTTCTGGACTGTTGATGACATTCATCATTTACCCAATACTTGATTAACCAAGGTAAACCAGACAATTCATTTGATAAGTGGGTCTCACACCCAGCACAACTAAGTAAACACTGTTTACTTATTCTTGCTCTGAAGCTCCGAGAACTTCAAATGTTTATCCTGGTGTTAACCATTGTATCTAGAGTCTTAAAGACACGTCAGTAGCCACTCTCAAGAACTGTAACAGTACTGTATAGTATAAACTTGTCTTGTCCTTTCTTGACTGCTTGGGTTATTGAGACTGGTACTGTGTTCTCAGACGTGGTTGTGCAGTGGTGCTCGCAGGGTGACCTCCTGGCTGTGGCTGGGGTTGAGAGGCACGGTATGCCTGCAGATCCAGGATGTATGCCCAGCATGAGGAACGCACTGGTCAAGTTCTACAATGTCTCTGGAGAGCATATCTACACCCTGGAGACCCCCGCCCAGGTGAGTGGGGTGGTGAGTCTGTTTTCTTGTAATCACCCCGGCAAATCAGTTTACATCCTTAAGTCTCCCTCTGCCTGTAGTAATCAGAGAGGCTGGACTTCACATTATTCTGAGAGAAACAACACAAGGCAGATAGTTTCTTCTCCGTAAATATTCAAGAGCAAGGCTAAAAACGATTGGGTTGAAATAGTTGTAAATACAAAAAGTCTATTAAACACAAACCTAATGTGCTTTTAATTAGTTTTGATAGCAGTGTTAATGTACCTTTAGACCAGTGGCACAAATCCATAAAACCATGAGCTTTCACTACAGTGTTTCCCTACACTGCATGGTAAGTCTCACACGCACAAGCTCATCTTCCTGACTGGCCACATAGCATCACTCTGAAGACGATTTGGCAGCCGTCGTTGTAAGTACTGTAAATAATGCAGTACTACAGATGCATTTTCCCTTATGAAAAATGTATGGAGGAGGACTCAGTTCAAAGTTGCAGTCTCACTTTTGAGTTACAGAAGCATCAATGTTAATACATATTGTGATCTAGTAATTAGTAACTTATGGCCTTGTCTTGAGTTGTGTTCAGATTCTGTACTTTTATAATTTTCTGTCTGGAGCCCTAGTCCTATTTTTGATAAGACAGAATTGATTGGTGATATACATGCTCTGCGGGCCGGCTGACAGAAGCGAACACTGGCAAGAGAAAGGGTACATGTTCCCTGAACCTGTCGACACGGCTGTCAGAGCTGTGGTACTGCAGGGGAGATATTGTCACTGCACTTCACTGCCCACTGAGAGGTTTCAGGGAGAGAAGTCACTGGCACTGATTGCCCAGGAGGACAAGTATACAGGTCAAGCGCAGCCTTGAGACTCTGACTGGCAGCAGGGAGAGATGTCTCTTTTTTTCTTAAGAAACAGGAAAAGTGTGAGGCCCTAAAATTGTTTTCTGTGTCTCCTGTTGTCAGTTGCAAGCTTAACAGAAGCCACTTATTGTTCAGAACTATTTTAACACAATCTGTCAATAGTTCAGGTGGGTAGCTGCGTCAGCATGCGTAGGCTGCAAAGGAACAAGTAATAGGTTTATTCCATGCTGAAAAAAAGAAGAAAGAGAACACGTTTCGGCCGTGGAGCCTTCTTCAGGTGTATATTAAAATAATACTGAGTACATATATTGTTTTTCATATCAAACCTGAAACTGATTACATTTCTGTGCTACATTGCTATTTTATGACCATTAAGGAATTTCAGGTTATGTGTTGGACTGACATGATTGGCTAAGCAGTGTTCCCCAGCAAACGTGTGAGTGTGTGGAGCCTTCTCACACCTGAAGAAGGCTCCACGGCCGAAACGTTGTGTTCTCTTTCTACAATCTGTCAATTACTGTTCTATGAGCTTATGTGATAGTCACGGTTCCACACGGGGTCATGCCCCCCCGCCGCCCGTTTCGTCTCCCACACATGGGGCGCGAACCCGGGTCTCCGGTCTAACGCAACAGGGCACCAACCGCATGAGCTAATGGAGACCTCCCCCAGCCCAGGCAGCGGAGGACCCTGCTACGTGCAGCGAGGGCGCCGACGTCGCCACACTAGCTCCGCTACACTTACACCACTCTAATGCCACCAAGATCTCTCTTCTTCCCTTTGCAACCCAGGCATATCCTTACACAGAAAACTTGAATAAACCCATGTAAGAGCTCCTAACACAATAAAAGGGGCGGTGCGGTGGCTCTATGGCTAAGGATCTACACCAGTGGCTGGAAGGTTGCCGGTTCGAATCCCGCGGCCGGCAGAGGAATCCTATTCCGTTGGGCCCCTGAGCAAGGCCCTTAACCCCAACTGCTCCAGGGGTGCCGTATAAATGGCTGACCCTGCGCTCTGACCCCAAGCTTCTCTCCCTGTCTGTGTGTCTCCTGGAGAGTAAGTTTGGGTATGCAAAAAATACCAACTCCTAATACAAGAAATTGTATATGGCCAATAAAATGATCTTATCTTATACAATGATACAAACCAGGTGAGCTAATTACATGTAATCCTCTGAGTCTCCCTCTAGGGTGGCCTCTAGTGGCAGTCTCGGTGTAGTCAAAGGCTACTCGGGTTGCTTGCCACAATGTTTTATGAATGGAATACTGTATGTTAATTAGATTAAGAAGAAGCTAGATTTTAACCTCTATTTTAGTTAGTGGGTGTGTTTTGAAACTTTTAATTTTCAGTTTTAATTCTTAAGATGAATTTGTGAGAGAGAAGGAAAAACAGAGCAGGCTATGTCAAATGAAATGTCTAAAAGCCACATAAAGGTGTAAAAGGCCAATAAATCTAGTGCACACTGCACCTTGTAATCTATTGTAACATTTCTGGTGATCCCATCTGAGGTAATGTGGGAAGATGAGATGCTTGTTCCTTTCATGTACCAACACACACTCACACGTTTGCTGGGGAACACTGCTTAGCCAATCATGTCAGTCCAACACATAACCTGAAATTCCTTAATGGTCATAAAATAGCAATGTAGCACAGAAATGTAATCAGTTTCAGGTTTGATATGAAAAACAATATATGTACTCAGTATTATTTTAACTCCACAGCTGTCTTTACAGATTTTTATAAAATAACCTGGAAATACTCAGCATCTGATTTTGATTGAATATATATAAAAGCAGAAATAAAAGCCAGAAATATCCTTAAATTTACTGCAAGAAATGCATTAATAATTTAAGTGAATACTTGCTGCTTAAAAAAACTAAAGTCTTCAAACATTTAGAATCCCAGTGCTTGCCGAGTCTAAACTTGGCAGTTCACAATTCAATCATACTGTAAATGTTTGCATTCATTCTGAGTCTCGTGTCTTTCCAACATCAACCATCAAAGCAGATGCTAATAATAGAAGTAGTGATATGTCAAGCCCTCCTACAATTATCGTGAGTGAATTTATTCATCATGATCTGACTGTACATTGTCACTTACGGCAGTACTCATCCAGATTACAGGAACTCTTATTTGAGGAGCTCAAGCTGTCTTTACAAAGTCCTTCACAGGCAGGGATATAATGACAATAGACATAGACAACGATAAGGAATGACAGTTCAGACAATAGAATAATAAAGAAATACATTATTCGGAAAAAGAGTTTGGTTGTCATTGAAGTCCAGTCAGAACAATGTTTTTCTTTCTTCATGTAGTTTGCCATTGAAGAATGGATTGTGTTAGTCACGTAATAAGACCTGAATAGAACTTTGAAAATGAGGAAGGTCTCATGGGTTGTTTGTTTGTGTATTTGAATGCACCCATTATCAGAAGTCCCTTTTTTCTGGTAAGGACTGCAGCAACCTGGAGCCTGTCCTGAAGTACAGGACACACACAGTGAGACCAGTCCATCCTGGTAAGGATGGCAGTCTACTGCATTTGTATCCACACCTATACGCACACACAGAGGGACAGTTTAGAAACCCCAAAATACTTGGCCAACATATTTTTGAAAATTGCAAGGAAACCAGCACACTCAATGAAAGCCCAGGAAAACCCTTCACAAGAAGCGCTCCAGTCCAGAATTCCAGAACCAGACCAGGACACAAAGGTTGTGAGGCAAGAGCTCACAGTCATGTTACTGTGTCACCTACATATGAACGTCATAAAGCTCTCTATGCACAGTTGTGACAGTGTAAGTTGTGTGAGCTTTCCACCTCAGATATTACTTTAGTTCCCAATTCTCTTAACAGACTGACATCAATCATTGGATCTTTCAATATCAAGATGACCAGGGAGTCTTAATTTTTGTGAACAATTACATGTATTACTGGAGTCATAGTACTGGAGCTTATATTCAGAATATTTTCATCTGTACACTAAAAAAAACTCCTGGTATTTGTCACTTGATCTATTTCATGTTTACTACAGTGCAACACTAATGAACAGTGTTTTATTTTGAGTTAATTTACAGTGTTAATGACCAGTCTGTTCAACTGCGTATTTTCCAAACACAGGGGTGAGGTTTTTTTTTTGTGTGAGGTTGTGTAGAATGCTCCTATACTTATGGATTCATTAACAATCACAACATAATTACTGTTATTCTGTACTGATTTATATGAATACATGGATATATATATATATAACATTTAAGTGTTTTCTTAAGCTGTACCAATTCGTCTTTCATAATTCTTTGAGGTATATTGGATAATGTTTATCGAACTTTTGTTCATTCTAGAAGATTGTTTTAAAGGGGGACTGCAACGCTATTTTTAGACTTCAGGTGTAGAAAGAATCAACATTGATGAGTGCATTTCAAATCACAATAAAAGTAAAATGAACACAGCAACTTGTAAACCTCCAATTTACATGACAAAAGTTCCAGGTACACGCAACGCTGACGGTGACGTGATCCAGTTTTATTACATTGTAAACAAGCAGGCTTGTGAATACACCTTTTTCGATCCAATAGAAATATTGCTCTCGAGTTCAAGACTGTTCTGCCAACAAATACTACTCACTTGTTAACTCTGCAAGCAGGTCACCTTGGAACATTTCTGCAGTGAAATCTGCTGCACAACCTGTACTTATTCGCTTGTCCATCACATTAGGCATTACAGTGACTAGTGAGCAGGAACGGGTGACATCACATGGCAATTCGTGGGAATTTGAATGTGAGTTTGCAGCAGCATGGTGACTTACAGTACTTTCACAAAGTTCACGATTTTGTGCTTAATTTGAAATTTGTAAAAAGTTTCTATAGTGTCAGTGCATTTATTTTGTTACTAGGTTTAAATAAGAAGAAATTGGGACTACGATAGAGGTGTTGTGGTGACGTAATTTAAGAAACAGGAGGTTAATTAATACACACAGTTGCACTAATTCCTAAAATAGCAGTTTTCACCAATTTTTGTAAAAATACATCTTGTAACAGAATCTGTACTTCACTTGACAATCTGACTTGACGGCCTGCCTGAGCAAGCTTCGATAATGAAAAAAAATCAGAATGGCAGTGAATGTGCGTCGGAAACATTGTCGACTTTTAGATTTTTAGTTTAAAAGTTGGCGATTTTGCCAGAGAATAAACGTCGGCCGTCTTTGTCATTTCTTTGCAGCGGCCGATCACTACTATATGCTGGGGGCACCGGGACTCGCGGCTCTTTCTGGCTTGCGGGCCGGCCCTATACGTGGTCAGGGTGGAGCACCGGGTCGCCAGCCTGCAGCTCATGTGCCAGCAGGCCGTTGCCAGTGCGCTGCGGGAAGAGAAGGACATCAGCAAGCTGACTATGCCATCCCGCCTCTGCTCTTACCTCACCACGGCCTTCATACCAACCATCAAGGTAGCAGCTTGGTTCTGCGGCTGCAGGCCTCTTCTATGCTGTGGTGCAAGGGGGGATATCCAGCTTTTCATGGTCGAAGTGAATGTTAGTGGTTAAAAAAAATAACTGGCTCTCAGGAGTGCTGTCTTTGTGTGCTGTGATCAGAGGTTTCTAGTTCTTGTGTATCTCTCATTGTGCAAAGATAGATTTGGCTGGGGGTGGGGGGGGGTGTTTCCAAGCCAGATAAATAGGGAAAAGTAAGACGGGGTATGCTGGAATCAACAGAGGCAATGCTTTGATCAATGGAAATGTGATATGTGAGATTGAAAGAATACTATAGTCTGTTTTTATTTGGGGAAAATTTACTTAGAAATGTATAATTACAGAAGGCAGTTTATTCATTGGGGATTCAATGTTTCCACAAGCTCTAATGCCAAGTACTTGTTTTTGTGCGTTTGACAACCATCAAAAATACGTTTATATTGAGGAAGTTACTGACAGTTTAAGGCTTCTCTATTCATGTTTTTTAAGGTTTTCAAGTGCAAAAAGTTATGTTTTAATTTTTTTATCTGAATTTTGGCTTTGTTGCACTACTATAATGTGCTCCACTGCAACATACCAATGAAATGGCCATCGTCCAGTATAGTTCACTATATTGGCAACTAGCATTGGCCAGGAAAGTGTCTACTGACAAGCTGAATAGAACAGAAGGAAATGTTAGTCTGATTAACATGCATCTGCACTCCAGTATTGTTAGTCAAAGAGAAAAAGCACGTCATCCAACCCACAGTCTGTAACAAAGTGAGAATCACACATAGGAAAGCATCTGTCCTTTGAAAAGGAGTGTGTGAATTTACTCCTGCATACATTGCATTGTATGCCTAGCCTGTCTTAATTAATAATAATTACCTACACTTATATAGCGCTTTTCTGGACACTCCACTCAAAGCGCTTTACAGGTAAAAGGTACCACCAATGTGCAGCATCCACCTGGATGATGCGACGGCAGCCATAGTGCGCCAGAACGCTCACCACACACCAGCTATCAATGGAGAGGAGAACAGAGTAATGAAGCCAATTCATAGATGGAGATTATTAGGAGGCCATGATTGGTAAGGCCCAATGGAAAATTTGGCCAGGACGCCGGGGTTACACCCCTACTCTTTTTGAGAAATGCTCTGGGATTTTTAGTGACCACAGAGAGTCAGGACCTCAGTTTCATGTCTCTGGACATGAAAAGGACAGCGCCTTTTTACAGTACAGTGTCCCCGTCACTGGGCATTAGGACCCACACAGACCACAGGGTGAGCGCCCCCTGCTGGCCCCACTAACACCTCTTCCAGCAGCAACCTTAGTTTTTCCCAGGAGGTCTCCCATCCAGGTACTGGCCAGGCTCACACCTGCTGAGCTTCAGTGGGTTGCCAGTTGTGAGTTGCAGGATGATATGGTCACTGGCATACATGTCTTCTTGTATCACATTTCTTTGTGCTGAGTGTTCCACACCGGGCCACAAGGTCTCTCATTTTCTCTCGTGTTTTCCAGCCTCCCATCCCTGATCCCAACAATATGCGCCATTTTGTGAGCTACCCAACCCCTGGCAATGAGAGGCTCCACTGCACCATGAAGCGCACTGAAGACAATCCTGAAGTCGGTGGGCCCTGCTACACCCTGTACTTGGAGTATCTCGGCGGTCTAGTACCCATCCTGAAAGGACGGCGCATCAGCAAGCTGCGGCCTGAGTTTGTCATCATGGATCCCAAAACTGATGGCAAAGCAGGTAATACAATACTGCAGTTCCCTTGCAGCTGAATAAATCGGCTTTCTTTTTTTTTAGCAGGAGTAAATTACATTTCTGTTACAGTTCTTTTTCTGGAGCTAAATGGTATGTAAACCATTGTACTTCAAACAGAGGTGTTCTTTGCTTCCACTTGACTGTTCATGAGAAGTTTTAAGGAGCTCTGGATGAGTAAAATATTTGTTTGAGAATATGATGTATGGAAAATAACAGGGGTGATTCATTATCGAATTACATTAAAATGAAAACGCCAAAAGCCATACTTGATTATTTTCCTAGAAGCTGTCTTTGGGGGTTTAAAAAGTTTTGCTTATCTAGAACAAATGAGGGGGAGAATATCCAAGATATGTTTTATGTCATGATATAATGAGTAATGTATTGCTGGAATTGCTTGAGTGGGCTGATGATGAGCGAATTAGTGATATTTTTTGTTAATATCCTGCCATCCTCAGCCCCCAGCCTACTTCTTTGTAATCCAGTTTCTGAATACAAATTCGGTATATGAGTTGTGGGCTAATAGCTTGTTGGTCTTTGTCTAAGTGTGCATATGTTATGGAAAAAGTTATTTTTTGGGGGTATAAAACAGCACCTCGGGGCAGTAATTGTTTGCCATTTGCACATGTGCTTCCTGTCTGTGAGTGAGGCTGATTTTATTGTCATCAGTCTAGCACATTTATGCCTTTATGTTCAGCCTCTCTGTTCCAGTAGTAACTTCTTCATCTTAAATGACATACAGGACCTTTAAAAAGTGCAAAATGTCAGATGTCTAACTAGCAGCATTGAGGTGTAAAAGACCTTGGTGTTTTTGTGGAAATGTCAATGAAAATCCATTTCCACTTCTGTTTGTTCCCTTTACCTCTGTTTTTTACAGTAGACTAGTCAAGTCTCCCTCTCTCCCTCAGGAATAGCTGTGTGTGAGAAGGCCTGCAGAAGTTTTTGCAGCTGTAATTGCTGCCAAAGGTGCCTCTATCAAGTATTTTCTCAGGGGCTCTTGATTTGTCGTCACAGTTTTGATGACATTTAGCTTTTTCACCCCTAAAAACATAAAGTGTGTGTATTCAAGTCGTGAGTAAAATTACTGAGAATATATGCATCATTTGTAATTCCATAGCATGGGTCTTTACTGGAAGAGGGTGGAGGTACTGTACCTGTGTGAGGAACATGACCTACATCTGATAGCTGTACAATATGTGGTTACCTTTTGTTTTTGTCATAATGTGGAAAGCTCAGTCTGGTTTTGTACTTGAATAGTCCAATATTTTTTGTTTCAATCATTGGACTGACTGGATATTGTGAAGTCCATATCCATGCTGCTGTTTTTATTACTGTTCCCCAGTGCTCAGCTTCTTTGTGATTCAAACCAGGTTATCCACAATCCAGTGGGAGGAAAGAGTTACATAACACAAGCTTAAATGTGAAGAATACAGTTATTGTAAAAACAGTAACATGTTTTAACTAATATGTGATCCATAGTACTTATGATCATTAATTTATTAGGTTAAAAGTAGTTTCTGTTAAATAATGTAGTGTGCACAACATTAAAATGTAATTGTTACAGCGGAATACTTCTCTCAGAGCATTATTGTTCACAAATTTAGGCACAGTGTATAGAATATTAAGAACATACCTTGATTCATTTTAAATACCTTTATAAGGCAAATTGCATTGAGCATTCACCCTGAAAAAACATCTTGGAACTATTGTATTCTACTTATTTGACCTGTTGAAACTGTATACCACAGATAAATTGTGGGCTCGGATGTTTCTTCCAACAGAAGTGTTAGCAGAAACATTTTCATCAGTTTCAGAAATCTGACAAAATGGAAAAGCATCTAAGAATTCAGCCATGAGGAACAATAGTCAACAATATAGAGATACATGATGTTTAATGAATCCACATTATTGAATACTAACACAGTAGCTGGAAATGCCTGGTAGTTACTAATCTCACATTCTTCTCATAATGGTCTCAGTAGCAGTCCGCAACCCTTTGCAAGGCAGCGGTTGAAAGCTGTTATTTTCTTTTAACTATTGACACTGCTTTCAAGTCGCAGCGATCTGGCGTAGTTATTTTAGTGGTAAAAAAGTGTTTTAATCAAACAGAAATTGCAGTAATTAGCTTGTATGGTCTTGCATTTATCAAGTTATTTGTTGCCCTTTGCCTTTCACAGTACAGCCCCTGTTAATCAACTTGGTTGATGTCAAGTGCTACTCAGCATAATGAATTTATATATGTATGTTCAATAAAATGACAGTGTTCCTGCTAAGAGGTTTTTCTTCCATTGACCTTTGGAAATGTATTTCAGTTGGAAAGTAGTATTGCTCTCAATGCTCAGTTTGTACAATGTCTTGCAAATAGGTTCAGTCCCTTCCAGCAATGTCACATTTTGTTGCATTTCAAATGTAAACATTTTTAAAATCCAGTATATAATCAAAACCTGAAAGTGCAAACCCTGTGCTTTCACGGGAGAAATCCCAGCAAACTCAGCACAAGTAAAAAATAAAATACGGTTGAAAATTTCCCTTATAATAACTTTGTGAAGTTCTTGCAGTTATGATGTTAGGGTTCCTTCTGTGTATGCTGATTGTATGTTTCTTGAGCTTGCAGGATTCTCCACGTTCACTCCACATTTTCGCTCTGCTTCTTTTCAGATGAGGTTTATGGAAACAGCTTGATTTCCTCTGTGATCGACAGCTGTAACTGCTCTGACTCGAGCGACATTGAGCTGAGTGATGACTGGGTGGGAAAGAAATCTCCAAAGATCTCGAGAGGCAGCAAATCACCTAAACTCCCAAGGTATGCGATTCTGTTCATCAGAATGAAGAACTGGAGTGGGTGGCATGGTGGCACTCTGGTTAGCAGTGCTGTCTTTCAGTACTGGGGCCCTGGGATCAGTGTCTGGGGTCTTTATATGGGGTCTATATATTTGCCTTACCGGTATGGGCTCCATCTCCCCCCAAACCCTGTTTTGGATAAAGAGATTATAAGATGGAGTGGGTACTGTAAAATTGCCTATTTTAGACTCATCGCAACTAATATTTTTTTCCAAAAAATCTCTCTTGTGCGAGAGTGTTGTCTTTAAAAATTAACAGTTAAGTTTGTCTTCCTTTCCCACAGAGAACAATACAGAGAAATGCCTCAGTTATTCATTTTGTATATCTGTTGTATATTTGGGGTGCGGTGTCCCTCTTAATGTTATCTTTCTTCCTGTGTTATGCATTTGTTTGATAAGTTTAGCTAGTTTCCTCACACAGTGACTTGAGTTTATTGAACAAGAGTTGTGTAATGATTGAATCGTCCTCCAGTAAGGAAATCTTGGGCTAAAAAAAGATTCAGCTTATTTCATCAGCTGTGATGAAACCAAGAAACAGTAGAGCAAGAACATAATAAAAGCAGACAAAACTAAAACTGATACCTTGACATAAACAGGTTTTCAAGTCTGGATTTCTTAGGGACAATAAAATACCAGAGATGTATTCATCTCATGTATTCAGATGTCAATTATACATATTAAATAATATGAATAACATAAATACACTTCAATATTGCATGTCACCATCTGCACAAAATTTAAAGCTGTGTTTCTGTCAGTTCTTGATGTCTTAGTGCTAACCTCATATTTGCTGCTGAGTTTTCTGGTTTTTGAAAGTTCTTCTCAATATAGACTGTTTTGTTTTTCCTCTTACTGCTCTTACCCATGGGTAGATCTGCTGGGTGTTAAGACATTTTGGTGAACAAAAACGGGGAGCAGAAAGCAACAGAAACGCAGCTCATTCAGCCAGTCACTGCGTGCAGAATTTCTTTTTCATTTATTGTATTTCCTAACAATATTCTACCTAAAAAGTGAACTTAAAATATTAGCACAGTATTATTATAACAACAATTTTGGGTGGTTCTTTGCCTTACATTCAAATGAGGTATTCTCAGATATATTATAGACAATTCTGAAATTTGGAGATCCTGATCCTGCTTAAATTGAATGTTTATTGGTCTTCCAGCTGTAAATATTGTAGCACACTCAGTACGTGCCCAAGTATGCTTTGGAAACACAAACTGAATATTGTTTATTGCTTGGAAGAATGCCTTCAGCTTTGCTTTGTACCAACAGGATTAATATTGAAGCTAGAAAATCTCCTAAACTATCCCGGGCTGCACAGGAGATATCCCGGTCACCACGGTTACCAATCAGAAAACCTTCTGTTGGATCTCCCAGCCTGGCTCGTAGAGAGTTTCCTTTAGAAGACATCACTCAGGTATTGTGTCATTTTGTATGACCAAATGATTGGTTGTTCTCTATGCGTTTTCATTTAAAAAGCACAAGTACTACTGAAGCTTCAGATTCCTACTTTGTGATGAGTTCTTCTAGTCCATTTCGAGATTAATTTTTAAATGCTCTTGGCATTTTTGGAATGTAGAATTGCCCCTTATTTTTGTTAGACCCACGATATCTTTGGAAAAGAGAACTGTGTGTTTTTCACATCTCAGCTGTCAGCAACAAACCTTGTGAACGCACACGGGAGAATAAGGGGCTGCAGGCAGATTCCTCCATCCAGCCATCCTCAGAGCTGCCTGTCTTTTGACACATCAAAAGCAGAGCAGCCTCGACCCACAGGTCCAGCACTGACTGCAGAATACATGCGTCTCTCACCTACAGTGCCTGGGAGGCCACAGGGGACTCTGTATCACTAAGAGCACAGAGAGCCATGGTCAGCTGATCCCACCCCACCATTGCCTGCACTCAGCCAGTTGTTTGGGAATCACAGTCACAGTCGGCTATTAACACAATCCACACTCGAACCTGTGACCTCAGGGCTCAGCCTGCTCCCGGGCTAGCACCATTATTGCTTCAGATGCTTCTTTTTTAATATTGTTAAAATAACATTTAATAATGTTATAATATCTTCAGCTCTTAGAGGTTATTTTAAAAAATATGTAAAAAGTATTTAGGTTGAATGTTTTTTTTTTCTATACAACTGTGTTCCAGACTGAACCTGTGTCATAATTGTGAACTAATAATTCCTTTATGCAGGTTTCATTTAGGTTCGGTATGCTCCACTATATTAATTGTTGATGCTTTCACTTTTTTTATAATTTTACACAATCCTGTAAAAGAACATTTTTAATTTATCATTACCAGTTGTGAATTGTTATTAACATTGTAATTGTTAAACAGAAGGTGTGAAACTGCTTTAAATATAGAGTGGAACCCTATATTCAAGTTCATATTGATCTTTTGACTTAATATGCATCTAAAAATTCATATATTTATATAAATAAAGTTCAATTTCAATTAAAAACACAATTTCAGTTTGCTAAGCATTTTTTTTAGTATGATTTGCTTCCAAGTCTGATTTTTCCCTTTGCTTTTACAGCATAATTATCTTGCTCAGGTCACTTCGAACATTTGGGGAACGAAGTTTAAAATCGTAGGACTCACGTCCTTTTTGCCAACTAGTCTTGGGTCAGGTAAAATTTCATTTCAGCTCTTACAGTGCTTTGCTCTTCTTTTGGTACTTTGTAAAACAACTTAATTATAAAAATTAACCCTTCTGTAGAATGTGAGGAAAAATAAAATATTGTAGAAGGCAACCGTCACAGGTCCAAAAAACATTTTTTAAAATTCTAAATTTCAGGCTAGGTAAGGGATATCAAGGAGGCAAGATAGTGATAGTCTTAGGTGTGCGAATACATTACATAGGGAATAATGTATAACAGAAGAAGTATGCCTTTTACTTACTGATCTTCAGAACAGTTTGCTTGCTTGACTTTACTTTCAGTCACTTTTTTATTGCGGATCTTCATGAGGGTAAAATGTTTGCATACTGTGAAAGCAACACATTTTTTTTATTACCTTTCCAGTTGTTTACAAGACAAGTTTGCTGCATCTCCAGCCCAGACAGATGACCGTTTTCCTGCCAGAAGTGGTTAAAGTTTCCATGGACTACATCAACCTTCCTGTATTCAACCCCAATGTGTTCAGTGAAGATGAAGATGATCTGCCAGGTACACAAAAATACACTAATAATTATCAATTAGAATGCATGAAAAAAACATTTGAATATTATTTAACAAATAACTGAAGGTAGGTGCTATTTATATATTATTTCAAATAACAAGGAGCCAATGTGCAGTAGGCCCAAGATATAAACACTATACCATCATTATTGATAAAATGATACATGCTTTAGCTGCTTTTAAAGTTAAACTCTAAGACCATGGCGGAAATGCATGTTTGATCAGTAACTTCATGAAAAAGCCTATCGGTGCGGCACTGAACTGTTTATAACTTGAAATCAGATGCAGAATGGAAGAATCATTACAAGTGAGACGAAGCTATTTGGCTCTTCTAGACATCATTGATACCAGGGCTTCATCCAGCTGTTTCTTGAAACCAACTGAAAACAAATGATTAAAAAAATAGTTGAAAAAAAATATGTGGCATAATAAGTGGCAGATACAGCATTGTTCATGTGCCAAAGTGTCGGTTCCCTAATCTTGATGCTCGGGATCCGTTGCTGTTAGCATCTTTAGAGAATCAACAGTTTTTCTTTTCAGTCTTTTGTATTGTGGTAATGAGCCGATGAAGACCTGGTACTTCTGTGCAACATTTGCAGCTTGTTTTTACTGTAGATGTTGTATTTGTATATTACCTTGCGTCAGTACAAAATAAATATTTTCCCTTTATTTTGTCTTGCTGCAGTCTGTGGTATGCATTTTATAGACACCTTATGAGTGAAAAAATGACTGAATATATATGCAAACCGTTAGCAACGTGTGACAGAGTGAGTTCATGGTTAATTAGAAGGCAATTATGTAGCGTTGTACGTGTAAATATCATAACGCATGTACACACCTCCAATATATCATGTTAAGCCATCATGAATGTCTATCAGTTATACACTTAGCTTCACCATTATCATAGTATTCGAGAAATACAAAACAATTTTATGCAGTTGGGAGGTTCGAAATTGCAGCTAAATCGATTTTTTAATAAGTATTAATAAGAATAAAAGTGTTGTTGAATAAATTTAAATAAATATCAAAAGCTCTGTGGTATTGTAAATTGGGAGCTGAGAGCAATAAAATTAAAAAGCAGTCTAAACTTGAATGCTAAAAAACTAAAAAGTGGTAACATCATAATTCACTCCCACTAAAAAAGCAGAGACATATTTTTAGTTTCTGATAGAGACATTTGAAAGAACATCCTGCTCTCAGTGCCAGGAGAATCCTTGCTGCACTGAGCAGATGGCACAGTGTAGGTTTGCATTTGTTACTGAACTGTAGTGTTGGGGTAGAGATATTTATAACTGAAAAGTTCCTTTGGAGCCCTGCTTGCTATTAATATTGAATCACATTTTCTTGCACATTCTGTATTCTTCAGTTAATTAATTCTGCCATAACTGCTCATTGACATGAATTTTGCATTCCTGTGTTGTATCATCATCCCATACATTTTGTAGCAGTCAAACATGTCCATCTTGTCATCCTACATCAGTGTGAATGCAGATGCATCTGTCCAGGACCTATGTGAAATCAAACAATGTGTTCTGAAAACCTGTTATTTTGCTTGTCTTTTGCAGTAACTGGACCTTCTGGTGTGCCCGATGACAACCCCCCTTGCACGGTCAACATTCCCATTGCTCCAATTCACAGCTCTGCTCAGGCCATGTCCCCAACTCAGAGCATTGGACTGGTTCAGTCCTTGCTGGCCAATCAGAACGTGCAGCTTGACGTCCTGACCAATCCCACCGCAGCAGCAGTAAATGTAGCGGCGGCAGCGGCGGTTGCGGGAGTCTCAGATCACGGCCAAGAAAGCATGATGACTAGCCAGTATCCAGTGTCCAGCAGGTATACTAATCCAGGCCAGGTGATCTTTGGAGGGTTGGAAATGGGACGCCTCCTTGTTGGACCCCCTCCCTCCCATCATCAGCAGCAGCAGCCACCACAGATGCAGATGCCACAGCCTCCCATACCTTCCAATCCGCCCCAGATTCCAGTGCACCAGCTGCCCCCTACAGTGAGCGAACACGGGTCAGAGATCAGCCGAGATCACGAGCACCTGCAGAAGGGCAAGCCGCTGCGGTCAATCCCTCAGCTTGCGGATGGGGATGCGGTGGTCTTCAGTGCCCCGCTGGAGATCCAGATCAGTAAGATGAACCCCCCTCCACCATATCCAGGAACAGTGGCGGCGGCCGCCGCAGCAGTGGCGGCGGCGGCGGCGGCGGCAGCAGCCTCTGCAGCCAACAGCAACAACCCCGCTGCTCCCCCTGTGGACCTCTGCCTGAAGAAGAACGAGTTCTCGCTTTACCCTCCAGCCCCTCAGTACCAGACCCCACTGGGCTATGAGCGAATTACTACCTTCGACAGTAGTGGAAACGTCGAGGAGGTCTGTCGACCGCGCACCCGGATTGTCTGCAACCAGAACATGTATGCTCTGCAAGGCCCAGGCAGCTCTGCCACCCTAAGAGTCACTTCCTCCGAGAGCAAAAAGGTACAGCTTCCCTGTGCGTCAGCCACGCTCAACCGGCTCACGGTTCCACGTTACTCCATACCTAGCGGTGACCCACCCCCTTACCCTGACCCTGCCAACCAGACAAGTTTGGGGAGGAATCCTGGCCAACGCATAGACAGCAGCCTCATTCACGCCACTCTGCGGCGCAACAGCAGGGAGGCGGTCCTCAAGGTCTCCCAGATGATGGATTCCCACAGGACTCTCCCAACCAAGTCGAAAGTTAACAGCGCATTAGCTGCATCTTACCAACAGAGAGTGTCGACCGCGCTGTACACCTGCAGCCAGTGCAGTAATAACAGCAACAGCACTGCTGGAACTACAGGCGCTGGGGGCAGCGGCAGCAGTAACAGCAATGGCATTACGGGCGGGAGCATTGTCCGTCAAGATTTTGCAGCAGGCAGCGCTGCTCAACACAGCACGGTCATTGTCCACTCCAATAGCACCTCACCTCTGGCTTCCCAGTCGTCCTACAACTTGCTGAGTCCTCCGGACAACTGCAGGGACAGGACAGAGTACATCAATTCTGCCTTCACTGAGGATGAGGCCCTTAACCAGCAGTGCCAGCTGGAAAAATCTCTCCGGCACCTGACTCTTGGTGAGGTGGGTCTGGCTGTAAAGCGGCCGCCTCCCTATCAGTGGGATCCTGCAGCCACTGAAGAGATCTGGGTCCCTCAGGAACGGACTCCACTGGGAGCCCCTCCTGGGACTCACAAGCCTCCTCCTCTTATCCTTAACCCAGCCCAGCACTTAGATGTGTCTCGGCTGCCATTTGTCCTCTCATCTAAATCTCCCACCAGCCCAAATGCCACTTTCCAGGCGGGTTACCAGATTGCCTTACCCTTTCCTCCAGGAGCTGGTTACAGTGGACCCCAGCTTCAGGCCATGCCGCCTCCTCCACAGCCCTGTTCACCTAAAGAAGTTGTGGCACCTGTCCCCTTCCCACAGCAAGAGCCCGCTATGGTCCTTCCACCTGGTTATCCAGCTAACCTGGCCAACTTGGCCTGCTGTCCACTGCCACCCATGTACCCAGGCACTAGCTCATGTGCTGGCCTTCAGCTGCCCCCCATAGGCTTGCATCCTTGGAACACTTACAGCCCTTGTCCACCTATGCAGAACCCCTCAGGGACCCTGCCCACCAAAGCCCACCTGGTTGTGGAGAAACCAGTTCTTTCTCCTCCCCCTCCTCCTGCCGACCTTCAGAATCACATGACCTCCCCTGAGGCCATGGACGAGGCAGGGGAAACCTTCCAGGAAGTGAACGAAAGCCCCATTCCCCAGCGTGCTGACAAGTTTAGCAAAAAGAGCCGCAAGAGGTTAGACAGTCGGGCAGAGGAGGCCAACGTTCCAGCTATCACAGAGGGCAAGGTGAAGAAGGAAGGCAGGGCTCTCGGCGACTTTAATTCTCTGATCTCCAGCCCTCGGCTTGGCCGAGAAAAGAAGAAGCCCAAGAGCCAGAAGGAGCAACTCAAAGCTAAGAAGCTGAACAAGACCAATGAGTTCCAAGACAGTTCAGAAAGCGAGCCAGAGCTTTTCATCAGTGGGGATGAGCTCATGAACCAGAGCCAGAGCAGCAAGAAGGGCTGGAAGAGCAAACGAAACCTTCGCACTGCAAGCGAGCTTGACGAGTTCAAATGCCGCAAGGCCAATGAGAAGGAGGACCGTGGTCTGGGCAGCGAGGACTTTGTCTATATTATGGCCAATAAGCAGCCTCTATGGAACGAGGCTACTCAGGTCTATCAGTTGGACTTTGGAGGACGAGTCACACAGGAGTCTGCAAAGAACTTTCAGATTGAACTGGAAGGAAGACAGGTATGGGTCTGTCTTTAAACCTTTTCATTTGTTTTAGAAAGCTGGAAATGAAAAGAACTGATCTGTTTAACATATATGTCTGCCTCTTTTTTAAAGCATGAAAAGGCTAGTAATAAATGCTTTTGTAAATCGTGCATACATATATTACTCAAATTATCCTCATTTCTTTTTTTTTTAATTTATGGATTGCTGCAACATGACATTACAGAAACCAATGTGTGTTATCTGAATTGCTTTGGTTATCCTTCAGTGAAGGGAACAGCCTAGTTCTCTCTAAACGTTGTGCCGCGTGTGGCAGTGAGAAGAGGTGTTCATGAAGAAGGTGACTGTTGGTCACTGTTTTGTTTTTCCAGGTGATGCAGTTTGGTAGGATTGATGGCAACGCTTACATCCTGGACTTTCAGTACCCGTTCTCTGCAGTGCAGGCCTTCGCTGTGGCCCTGGCCAACGTCACCCAGCGCCTCAAGTGAAGAGTCTTGGCACCCAGCGGCCAAGGCAACGCTGCCACTCTTCTGAGGTCCTGATAAGAGCCAAACAGAAACAGTTCAAGTTCATTGTGCATTATAACAGAATGAGCCAAGACGGCAGGATTTCCATGCCATTTGCTGGCATGTTCAAAAGCTGTATTTCAAGTCCAGGACTCACAGAAAGGTGGTAACAACCCAGGTGTCATCTCTGGGGATGTGGGCTTAGCTTACTGTGGTTGGTCTGCAATTAATATACTGCTCTAGCTTCCTAAAGCTAGTAGAAACAGACTGTCCTCTTTACAGACTGCCTTATATCCATGTTTTTGTTTCCTATTTAAATTGTTACGTGGGTTTTTTTCAGTCCAGTTTTTAAACACAACAGAAATACTTGAAAACTATATCTGGAAAAGTAATAGCTAATCCGCTAGAGCTTACAGGTACTACCGAGCACTGAAATTAATATCTGTAAGAAGCTAAAGAGAAATCTGAAGTATTTAGAAGAAATGAATAGATTTTTGGCTTTATTATAAATCTTATGCATTTTGAACAAAAAGGTCATATTAAGTCTTTAAGTATTTTGGCTCCACTATTAATATTTGAATTTGTTAGTGCCTAATTTAGTGCTAAGTATTGAGGAAGGCTACTGAACAGTTTGTAGGATTTTTACTTTCTGAATTTGAACATGAAAGTGGATTTCATTCATTAACGTTTTTAGTTTGGATGTTCATAGAAGTACTTGAAAAGAAAGATGCAAAGTGTTAAACATATGTGATAGCCTGCAGTTAGCATTTTTAAAGTCAATTTTTGCATTTAGATAGGAGGAACTTTTAACAAATTACTCATTGACTCCCAATAGTTCTGTGCATTAAAGTTCTTGTAGTACAATTTATGCGAACTATTTAAATGTATATATTGTTTAAATATTAATATTCTTATTGTTATTATTGATCTTTATATTTATGTAGCATTACTCTGTCTTAGTACCTTGTTTACACAGATTTTCAAAAGTGTATTTCATTTGGGAATCAGGAGGCTAAAGTATTTGTCCTAACATTTAACATTGACCTGAATGGCCTTCTCTCATTTACAATCTTTCTTATGTTCTTAAGATGTTGTTTTGCTTTTGTGTTATAACTTGTTGTGCAATTGCGTTAGTTTCAATTCACCTTTAAAATGCTGATCGGGAGGAGCCATCACTTATGGTGGGGGGGTTTTAATTGTGAGATTAACAGTATTACTAGTTTCCACATGTGAAGTTTTCAGCTCCTGTCACTTCTGTGAAGTGCTCATACTCTTACCAAGGGGGTCTGTAAGCAAGGTACAGGAAGTATTTTTGTATGTTTCACTTTTGACATTTCGTATCTTTTTTTAATTCTGTAAGCATTTGTTACATATCAGTAAATCATTGTAAGGATTACCAGTGTTTGGGGCTAGAGATGCTTTCATAATTGACCGTACATAAATGTTTTAACCGAAGAATGCAATGGCACTTTTCAGAAGTGCACGTTAGATCACACATGAGCATTTCATCCTTTACTTGTAGAAGGAAACCGGATGAACTGCACAGTGTTGTAAGTTGCAATTATTTATCCTGGCAGTCCAGAGTGCACGTTAAGCTTGATCAGCTCCGTATATGAGCAGACATCTAGTGCCAGACATGCAGCTGCCTGTTTTCTCCCTCCACAAACTGAAAAATCTGTGACATTGAATAGTAGTAAGATGGTCTGTCTACTTGAGGCAAAATTAAGAATGGAAATGCACTCTTGTTGACAAGACTCACGTTTACAAAGGTTTCTTTTTATAAATAGGGGTTATCAGTCAAACTGACTTTTGTATTCAATAACCTTAGCTAAAATTGTCTGAGATGCAGTCATTAATGCTGCATTAAGTTATGTCATTCAAAGAGGGCGGAAAGATTTATTTCTAATGTATAATATTGAAGCTGAGAAGAATCCTCTTTGCCTGCCAAAGGCAGGAATCGTGTTGGCTACATTAAAAAAAAAAGTTGTACTTCAGAAATTGTATTATGTGCACAAAGAGCTCTGGGAGCTATAAATAGTTGTATAGCCATGTGTGTAAGAACTGTACAGTGTGTTTACCCTGAACTCTGCCCATAAATTCACGAATGGTCAGCTGCTTCCTCCTACTGTTCAGTCCGGTTCACAAAACGGGAGACATTGCTTTATTTAGTTCTTTGCAGGCTTCATTACACTGTGGGGAAATGACACGTCGAAGTAAAGATTGCATTGGAATGAAAAGCCTGATAAGGGAGAGATTTCCAGTGCCTCCAAGACCTATAAACTACATACTCATCTGCACAAATATTGTTTTAGAAGGGGGTTATAAAATATTTGCTTCCATTTATGATTAGAATCACCCACACGTTCGGATCATTTACCTTGTAGTTGACATGTTTGGAAACGCAATGAAAACTGAGGCTTTCCACAGCCCCCACATGAGTTTGTATTTATTTTACTGCCATGGTGTGCATTGTGTAAATGTATTGCAGTGGAAGGATTCTGTCCTTGGACAGTCTGCTTTGCCAGCAATGTTTGCTCATGGATGTCAAAATGCCGTTTGTGAGTGCTCTCCAGATTTGCTCACCCTACAGTGCAGAGATGGATTGGTGAGCCGTACAATATCGACGGACATTAGTCGAATCAGCAATGATCTTATCTGATTTGTCTGGGCTCAGGGTTTTGCTTCAGGTAAGACATGTCTCTGAGCTGTGTTACTTTGCTGTAATTCTGAGCTAAATTACTTTGCTGTAATAAATAACAGGTCACATTGGCTAAGGATCAGTCAGTGTGATCTTGCAGGTTGAGTGTAACCTTTTCTTTCCTAGAAAAGAATATGGATAGTTTTTAATTCTGTTCTTTTTATTTATGCTTTCATTGCCTGGCATTGACAGTTTAGTTGTGCAATATTTTTAAAGGAATTTTTTTCACACACAATTTACATTTTGTCAGTACCTTTAGACAGGTAATAAGAAAAATGGGCAGACACTTTATCCATCCTTATGGTTGTTTCTATACAGTTTATTTATACAAGAATATTTCTGAAACTTAATCAATTCATTTTGGATTTGATGGGGGTTTCTTCTGTGTCAAAGAAATATGTGACCAGTTTATTGTGAGGGGTTGATGTTGGGTGTTATGCAAGACTAACTTGTAATGCAAAAGAAAGAAATTAGTAAATACAATGTGATTGAGCATAGTAGTTTGTGTGGTATCACAGGACTTGTCTGTAGAGTAAATTCTGTTGGTGTTATTTGTGAAATCAACAGATTTCATCAGTGTTTCCAAGTTTTGTGTTTTAATTAATTTGTAAAGATGCGTGTATATATTAACATATACATGCACATTTGCCTTGTCAGCACGAATGACAACCCCAGTTAGAGGCAATACTTGCTTATTAAGGTGAGTGTTTATAAAAAATAATAGAAACAGCACTTTCGTTAGTTCTAGATTATTCCATATTTATGGAAAAAATGACATCTTGCATACTTTAGTACCAGTTATAGTTTAAATACCATTGAAAACAAGCAACAAAGGCTCACCCATCATTTAGAGTTTGATTCAGTGGTTTGTATTGAAAATTACAATATTTTGCTTCTTATTTGTGCAGGTTTGGTTGATGTACTATATATATATGGTTGTCAAAAAATACTTGAACCAAAATGAGGACTTTCTTGTTTGACTTGGTTTCAGAACTTCTGCAATCAAGGTTCGTGGTGATAAGGCATGGCTTTTTAGTTATTTTTCTTAGTGTAAATAGTTTTACAGTTTTATACTTGTATTTTCCTAACACTGTCAGAAATGAAAAAAAAGATCTTTGTTAACTGAGGAAAAAAAGCATGGGTTTGCTTCTGCTCAAAAAGAAAGCAGTCACCTTAGTATATACTGGCAGGAGTTTGTGTTATTTTTATAAATGCATTGTTTCATACCATAGTTTTGAACAGACTTAAAAAGTCATCCAGTTTAGTTTGTGGATTGTTTCCCAAAACCAGTCAGACAGGTGAATTATGGTAGTCTTCTTCAGCCAGATGTTTTTTTTTCTTGTATAAGGCACTTGAAAGATGCCACTGTTTGAAATTGGGCCGACAATGTTAAGGTTTGTGCTGACTTTTTGATCTGTTTTTCAATTTTTAACACCATTTCTAACAAACTGGGACACTAAACTGCCCGATTTGTTTCCTTACTTTAATTTTGCATTCTTTTTGTTCCCCCGGTTGTACAGCTGTTACCTTAAATGATACAAGTATAATTATTGTAACTGGTTTTTGCCAGGTTTTGTAAGTACTGTATTGACATGGAAGTAACATACTGCCCTGATGTTATTTTTAATTATTTTTTTTCTTAGAAGAAAAAATGGAGTTGTGTGAGTTGTCCAGCTGTTGCTTAATAAAATTTGCAGACTGAAAAAAAAAGCAGTTTTTGTGAAATTGGTTTCCTACATAATGAGATTCAATGGTAGATTATAGTAAAATTGTTCATTTCCTAGTGCTCACCTTACGATAAAAAGGCAGTCCTGATAATTTAAACTATATATCCATCCATTTTCTAACTGCTTCATCCAATGCAGGGTCACTGTTGAGTCATGCCTATCCCAGTAAACAGTAGGTGCAAGGGAGGACACAATCTGGAAAAGATGCCAGTCCATTGCCAGACACAGACTGACACAGACACACACACATTCACGCCCAGGTCAATTTTCCCAGAAGCCCATTAATCTACAAGTAAGTTCTTTTTGCAGAGTGAATACGGTTGAGCTGTGGACATTTTCTGCGTTCTCAACTACTGAACTCTGTCAATGTAGTCTTCGCAGTAGCATCCCTACACAGTAGTTTTTCCCTTGCCCAGTTGGAGGGATAGCCTGATCTGGGCAGTTTTTGAGAAACTTCACCATTTATAATGATTCATTGAGAATATTCTGTGTAAATTTGGTAAACACATTATGGATTGCTGCTTTGAATTCAGCCTAGAGAAGGGCAACTAGATAATCTTGTAGACTTTAAGGAATATCCTACAGTGACCGACTAAAAGAGTTGGAACTTTTTAGTCTTGAAGAGAAAAGATTACAGTCTCCATTGCACAAAGTATTACAATTCCTCAGTGGCATTGACAGTCAACCCAGCTGACATTTCAATGCACAACATTTAAAACTGAACCAGAGGACATGAGTGTACACTTTGTACATTAAAAACTGAAAACCCTTTTTGCACAAAAGGTTGTGGGAGATCTGGAAGCTATACATCTGTGATTTTGAAGGCGGTAATCTTGCTTCTTTCAAAAAATAACAACTGGATGAAACTTCAGTGAGCATCTAGTAACTAGCAACTTTCCTTTCATTTGTAACATTTCTCATGTTCTTGTAGCGTTAATGCCTTCGGACAATTCCCCTGCTTTTCTCATGAAGGCAAATGGTACTCTGGACATCGCTTCTATTGAGGACATTGCTTTTGTGCATGACCGCATGCTTGGGCAATTAGTGAATATCATAATTTTGTAAAAATTTGGAGACGTATAAAAAATAACTCCACAGAGGTCAAGAATCCAATGTTGACCATCTGGTAGTTTCACCAGTCTACTGAAAAATCCTACATCTGCATCATCTTTAAATTAAAAATACATACTGTATTTATATGGGTTGAGTCACTTCAGGTTTTACAGAAGACTATTTTTATTAAGGATTTAAGAAACAATGTTCACTGTGTTCAGACTTCAAACACTGGTTTTTAAAAAGACTGTGCTATAATGGTAACACATTGAAGACATTACTATTTATGTAGTAATGAGAGATATATGATGCATTTTTATAATAATAAACAATTAAACAGTACATCAACACAGGAAAATAACACTAGTTATCATAGATTATTTGCTAATCAATAATCTAGGCCATTTTACCTAAGGTACTAAACAAATTTACTACACAAGGTTGAACATAAAAGTTAATGGAGAATACATTGTGTTTCACATAATAAAATGCATACCGTAAAAGCATATCCGGCCTGATTACTCGTTTATTTTGCAGAAAAACATGAATTGTCAAAGAATTATGTATATATGAAAATAAAATGTATATATTGCACTGATAATCACCTTTATACAAAGAGATTAAACTATATTACTATTATTATCCTCCCTCCTTATAAAGCTGGGACCCCATATTAATCAGATTATTAATTTAATTTGTTAAAAACGGATGAATTCTACATCTTGTATAAAGGTCTATTTCATTGAATACATTTTCGAAGGTACGTTATCATAAAACTCTGGATTTACTATAACAAGGTGATGGGTGGGGTTTTCTTCGGATGTGTTTTAGATTAATAATGCTCCATTACAAATATGATTTTATACAACCTCGGAGTTGGACATATTCCCTTTTTAAAAAAAATGATCATACAGTATGTTTCTGGAACAGGCTCAGGTTATGTTCCTTCATTATGGTTTTTTTTTCGGTTTATTGAAAATTTGAATTTTTTTGGACGTTCTGTATGCTCAAAATATGTATCTGTAAATTAACGTTCCTCTCTGCAAGCCCTACAAACAGAGCTGTGCACGTTACTGACTCGCCTTGCCACTATCCGTGGTCCTGAAAGAGGTAGCATGTGTCATCTGCGGAAGTGGAGGGGAGAATTTCCACGCCTCCCCCAGTTTTATTCGGGTCTTTGCTCTAAGAAGAAAACAAACGGGAGGAGGCGTACTGCAGCATTTATTTTATTACAGATCACACAAATTTGACACCGAGTGTTATAAGGTTTGTGTTATAATACACAGGGACGTTTTAAATCGCCATTTTCAGCAAATACCAGGATATGAACAGGATGGACTCCGACTACCCAAGCTTTGAAAACCCTCTATACAGCGAGCTAAAATATTTCTGCAAAAAGATACAAGAGACATATAAAGAATTAAAAGAAGACCTCACGCCATACAGAGATGATCGATATTATAGGTAAGCTGATGCTATTACTCCCTTAAATGTGGGGCACTTTGACGTTTTTCTCAGTGTTTTTGCAAATCAACATTGCGTTAGTTTTTTCATCAGTATACGAACAAATTCATTAAATCTAATGAAAGTATTAATTGAAATGACATTATGCAGTCTATATACATTAATCAGTGCATTAATAGCGATTATCTGTCAACCTTTATCGCCTTGCTGTGATTTCTCCACTCGGTTATAAAGATATATATACAGATACAGATATAAGGTCTGTTTAAGGTCAAGAAATTAATAGAATTCGAAAAATGAATGAAACAAGTGGACTTGAGTAAGACACAATTCGTTACAATAATTTAAAATGCTGTATGTAATCATAAGCAATACAGGTTAGAGTCTATGAAAATGGTGATTTTAAGTCCAGTTTAGGTAAATATAAATAGAATGTACAGTATGTGGTAATACATTTAAGTACATTCGTCCATTGTTACAGACCTCCTTTAGGGGACTAGCGGGGGAAAGATAATTATAGATTAATCTTCACTAGCATCAAAGCAGCCATTTTGCTACACACTGGGCCTGCTGTATGTTTTGTAGTCATACACAATTACAGTGGATTTCAGTATCCTATATACAGAAATATATATATATAGCAAAACAAAATTTTTGGCAATCCATTCTTTTTGGCAAATTCATTTGTTCCTCAACGGAACCAATGAACTATAATTTCATTTAAACAAGGTTAAAAAAAAGACTGCTGACGCGTTGGCATAATAAATAATAATAATGTGTTGGTTGCATATTTATAACATTTAACAACAGTTCTTCCAAGTGAAAAAGAACAATGCAAAATCGAAGGAACAGAGTAATACGGACGTTAAAAAAGAAACATTATACATCTATTCATGCAGCCACCAACCATATTTTTTTTTCATTCCAGTTCCTTGGATTTTTGTTAGAAATACAATATTCCCGATTTAGAGGGAGCGTTGTGCTCGAAAAAAATCCCGTGATTAAGCTAAAATTAAAAATACAACTGCAATGATGTGAAAGAGAATTAAGTGCTCGTAAAATGCTATACATAATTATTTAATATCCGTGCAAGTTTGAGACATGTAAATTCTCAGTACAGGCCTTATTTATGTATTAAGATTAGGCAGTTTTTCGGATTTTTGTTTTAATGCTATTCACTGCCAGGGGGCAAAAGAAAACTACTTTACATTGCATTACATTGCTAATACCTCTAACTAGCAGTGCAGCGCTGTTCCCCTTAAGTTCCCTATGCTATGGGTCCTGCATTACTCCTCCTTCTCTTCCCGTCCCTCTTCACGTGACGGGAGTGCACGCTCCGCGCAATGACGTAGTGTCGGGCTCTGATGCACCGCCTGAGATATGCGGATGTGAGCTGGCGGTGTTGTGGGCGAGTTGTAAGTAATCAGGTTTCAAGCCTGGCTTCACTAAGAAAACATGGACCTGTAAGTTGATCTTTTTCTTTGAGAATTTTGAGAATCAGAACTGCGAAAGTGTGTTTTGAGCTTTGCTGCGCTTTTGCTTGTACCGTCTGGCTCTGCTTTGTTGTCGTTTGAGTGCGTTGACACACTGTAACAGAACTATAAGCAATAGAAGATGTGCGTCAGGCAGGTATATCAGCTATGCAGTAGTTCACACAAAGAACGGTTGTGTTGTTTGACCGAGTGCCACACGCACCTGAATTTGTGTTTAAGAAACAACACTCTTCTTAGTTCTGTGTGTGCAGGCCAGCTTGTGTAACTGTATAAACTTAATGTTTTCTAATAACACGGGCAGTCATCGATTAATCGGTATCTTCGATTAGGAGTCCTCTGGAACGGCAAGGAAATGTACTTAATAGAATGTGAGTAACCCGTGGTTATTTTTTCACTATAGTACCCGTCCGTCGTTTTTGTTTTGTTTTGTTTTGTTTTGTTTTGTTTTTTGGACGAGTCGAAGTAGTTTTCTTTATTAGCCCTCTGGAAAATGATAAACAACTTTTGAAGTTACTTAACGTGATGACATCTGGAGTACTCAAGCCACATAATTTAAATCGAAAGAATTAAATCTTTGAAAAATCTGTGTTTTGTCTGCGTGATCTGTCAAACGCATATGTCTAAAATATTTCAGTTTGTGGACTCGCTGCAGTCGGACCACTATTCGGTGATCACTTGTGTATTATGGTTATAGGATTCGCCTTTCCCACAGAAGTGACTGTAATTGTATGACTTTCTAATGTTTTGGTGCTTTTTAATGCAGGTATTTGTCTAAAGCATCACATAGCAGTTTTCTACTTCCAAAAGCAAAAACAGATTTGTAGTTTCATTTGTGGTAATCGTTTTTAAGCATGTGCTGCCCATTAATCTACTTAATATACATTAATTAAGGTACTGTGCCTTTACAGTATCGTGGCTCATTAGAGTTTGGACAGACCATGCTGCTTTAAAGGCAGCTGGGGAAAAAACAGCAGAAAAACACCTAAAGAAATTGTAAGGAAATGAAAAATTAATTTTACAGCACGGAAATGACCAGCTGGCCTCGTTTGTTGGCTTTGTTTTTCAGTTTTCATAAAAATGATAGATGATAGATGGATAGAATGATAGATTTTGATTGTCGATTTTCAGAGGGTCTGTAAGCTTAGACGTTTCCTAAGGTAATGTGTTGTTAAAGAATGATTAATTTGGATATCTTACATTTTCTCTCATTTAAGTGAAAGTTGTGTATTCTGGGTAGGCAGGACCTAGCCCTAGTGTGACAGCAAACGTTTGAGTCTGCGACTGCGAAACATAAACCAAAGATGTCTAAGTACTAGTAGCCTGAGCTTGAAAATGTCATTTTTAATTTAAATAAATAATTTATAAAATGGATCATTAAAAGATAAATAACTGTGCTACACCACATAGCAATGAATACAGAAAGCTTGTGTTCCCTCAAACAAGACAAGCAATATTTGCTGCTTTTGTTGCTTGGTTTAGTTTGCACTGTGAATTCAGACCACCAAAGGTCTTTGTTTTCTGAACTTAAGCTGCGGCGGTCTGGTGGTATGTCTTAGCCCAAACAAACTGTCCATGTTCCCCTGCTTCTTTATTTTTCAGGTTGGCTCCCATGCGGCTGTACACACTCTCCAAGCGTCACTTTGTTCTGGTGTTCGTCGTTTTCTTCCTGTGCTTCGGCCTCACGGTCTTCATCGGCATTGCAGGTAGGCCATGAGTGAGCGCTGCTGTCCGCTTGTTCTTTGCCAATGTTACTCAGTGGGCTTGACTGGTGTGCTTTAACCTCCCTGCTCTGCTGGGCCTTGAAGGGAAAAATCCTTTATCAGAACTCGAGCAAAACAAACACCTGGTAGCCACTGACTTAGACATTTGAGGGTGGAGCTGTGTCAGTGTGTGCTGGCTGTGAAGGAATAAGTAAAAGTTGACTCCACCCTGAGAAGAAGGAAGAAAAAACAATGCCACATTTGGAGCCTTCTTCGACTGTGAGCACAAGCTTTTAACCTTTACTTGTTTCATTGAGCGGTAAGCGTTCTGGCGCACTATGACTAGCGTTGCATCATCCAGGTGGATGCTGCACATTGGTGGTGGTGGAGGGGATCGCCTTCCCTGTAAAGCCCTTTGAGTGGAGTGTCCAGAAAAGCACTATATAAGTGTAAGCAACTATTATTATTATTATTATTATTATTATTATTATTATTATTATTATTATTATTATTATTATTATTATTGACTTAGAAATGATGCATGCTACTCTTAAATCTGTTTGAGACGTATTTCTCTTTACCAAAGCAGCATGTCACATCTGCATCCCGTGTGCTAAGCATGTAGAGTTATCTTTTTGGCAATAAAAATACACAGTAATGCAGTTCATTACTAAAAGGATTTTTACATTTTTGTTTCCCTTGCACCTGCTTTTCAGTGTGACAGTGATTGTAATTTTATATATCAGTCCATAGCCCAGCAGGATTTATAAATTATCCTTAAATCATCTATTTGTAGTGACTTTGAACACAAGTGAGTTTTGATTATTTCAGTACATTAATTGGTTCAAAGAGTCAGAAATGGCTACCTGACTATTTAGTCCTTCAGACGAAATACTACCAGTAGATGGCTTTATTTTGATTTCATATGACAGCAAGCTACTTAATTGAAAACATCATATGCTACAGTGGTCAAAACTATTCGTTCCAAGTGCTAGAGAGTGACCCATGTACCGCAAATCATTGGCAAAGGTGTTGTATGAGAACTGGTATTCATTTGCCTTGTTTGGGAGAGTCTGCACTTTTTGTTTGAAAATAATCGCAAAAGGAAAATCCAAAGACTTGAGGTTAAGGAGACCGTATTTCTTTCTGACAAATTGTAAGCAAGGTGTAATTCTGCTGGGAATGTGGAAATGAGAGGATCTGGCAACATTAAGTAACTTGATATTTGCTAAGAGAAGCTAATTGAAATGTGGTGACAGATGTCAGACTATACCTGTTGTTGATTTAATAAAACCACGTTGTCCGAGTTTTCCTCTTGTTTGGATTTCTCAATGCCGATAACTACAGTCAGTTTCATATGTCACTGATTGGGCGATTAGGTGTCTTGCATGAGATGTTTTGATTACAGTTACATGTTTACAGCTAAGTGGGACACCTTTTTTGCCCATCAGATCTGATTTTTGTTTTACAGTTTAAAGGACCATCTTTCTTAAGTTTAACCAAATAATTAAGATGTATTCTTTGTCCGTTTTACTGTATATTAATTGCTGTGCAGTGGCTCATGTTGGCCTCATAGCTCCACGGCTTAAACGTTATGTTTTCTTTCTTCTCGATTCAGCATGGAATAAACCTATTACTTGTTCCTTTGCAGCCTACGCATGCTGACACAGCCAGCCACCTGAATTACTCATCTACCTATCTAGCCTCATAACTACAGGTCTTACAAGTATTCAAAAAAGTACATTTAAATATGCAGAAACAAAGCTCTGTGTAATTTGTCATGGAAACAAAACTCCACTTTGTATCTCTGAAATTGTATAACATTTCATCCTGTTACACCTCAAGGGTAGTCGAAGTCTGGTTGCTAAGAAAATGTTTTTACTTTTGGAGATAATTAAAACAATTCACCACAGGGCGCCCAAAGCAGAATTTGGTGTGTTCGCCCTTGTAAACAATAGTCACACCACAGAAATATTCCTGAAATGATTCCAAAATTGAACGAATCATTAATGGACTGCTCTCCGTATTTTTGCAGCCTAGATGTTATGTGTTTCAGTTTCTGCAGAGCTGATTTCACTCCCCATTGTGTGTCTTGGAGAACTTCACTAGAGGACGTCCTGATTGCATTGCGTGCGTGTAATGACTCACTAATTAGATCATGCAAAATGCTTTTCCAATTGTCCCACAGGAGACAAGCTTGAAAAGGTGGCAGATTTATGGTAGAATAAGGTCACTTTGGAACACAACTGACTATGCAGTGCTGCCAGATCACATTGTGTTCATAATTTATGTACCCTTTCTATGAAGATGCACCATTTTCCTGACTCACTGTTATGGAAAGAGTCATTTAAAGCAAAGCAAAGTGAAGGGCTTTTTCAGGTATGCGGTAGGCAGGCTGTGTGTGGCAGTGCTTGTTGACCTTTGTTAGTCTAAGGCAGGGGTAAACTGTGATGTTGGATCAAACCCATGTGATAAAGCAAGCACCTTATCTAAATTATACTGCTGACTCAATACTTGGGAGGAACATATTATTCACAGTCTGAGATTTGTGCTATTAATGAGTAGTGCAGGAGTGGAACAAACCTTTTTGTAAAATGATCTTAATATACATGTAGTTTTATGACCAAATAAACTTCTATAATGTTAATCCATTGAACTGTTTTAGAATAACAGTACATATAGATAGACATTTCTTCGTATCAAGTACTGTAATGCATGCTTTATTTCTTCCTGACACTGGGAACAAGTTGAAATCCACCGTCAGGCCAATGCGTATACAGTGTACATACACATGCATCATCATTGATGGAGCAGTGTGTGTTTCAGCCATGCTAAGCATCAGACAGTTGGTTCTGATCTGAAAAGATCAGCAAGAGTGATGAGGAGATGGGAGACCCCGCAGGGAAAACCAAAATTAATGCTAAATGGTATTGGTGGACCACACAGGGAAAACCAGATTGATACTAAATGGTATTGGTGGACCACACCACTGCCTTGGTGATCTGAGACAATGTGCTGTCCTTTAGATCATGTACTTCGGAGTCGTTAATCCAAGGTCCTGACTACTTGGTTATACTATACCCATTGTCCTGGCCAATTTCCTCTTTGGGTTTGCACAACATCTCCCTTAATTCAGTTTCTCACTTTGCTACCTGATCTGCATAACAACTGCTGTGCATCGTCCTGACAGATGCTGCAGTGACTAACTGTGGCTAAATTGAATGTCCTTCATTGTGCAAAGAGCTTGGAGGTGCTTCAGAAAGTGATTATAAAAGCAATATTATTATTACACGAGCTCTGGTGATGGTGAGCTGGTTGTTGTCTATGTGGGATAATGAAATTATTCATTAGTTTCATATGACTTTACTGTTGTACAGTGCTGCAAGAAAGAAGGTTAGTCTTCAGTACTAGAACAGATTTTCATTCCAGTCCGAGGTAGAATCTGGCAAAAAAATAAATTTCCTGTAGTGTTGATCATGTAAACAATTTTTAATTTTGCTTCAATGACTTTTTTTTTCAGGACCTAAGATCATTGAGGAATCAACATATAGTGGTACCAAGATGTTGTTAGCTAACAGCTCTTTACAGGTAAAGTTATACATGTTATAAATAGTAGTCACGAAAATAGTGAATATCAAAGTAAGGCAGAGCCAAATAATCAATAAGTACATTAAATATTCATAACCCCCAAAATGATAAAGATTTTCTCAAGAATATACTTGAGTGGTTGGTATAATTAGAGGTACCTGAGGTATTTGTTCCCTGGCACAGTTTAGTTAAAATAATAATAATTCAGACACACTGGGTTAAACAAATTTGTTTATTATTAATAATGACAAAATACAAACTAAACAACACACAATATAAACATATGACATACAAGTTACTCTTTTTACAAACAAGGTGTCTCAAAGGCCTACGTCCCAGCCAACCAGAAAAGGCTCAGACTGTAGCCAAGTATTCAAATCCTGTATAGTGCCTAACAGGCCCAAAAATAGAGATGAACCTGCCTTCTGCACCAAACAGAATTAAATCTCTCTATATATAAATGGTGATGCTACAGAGTAAATGGGAAACCTAATTTCCTTCACAAACCAGGAGAAGCAGTTTTTAACCTATGTATTCTTTATAATGGCGATCAGTTTCCTAAAAACGACAAAATGGCTCACTTAACAAGGTTCAAATACTTGAATCTGTTCTTAAAGGCTTATCAAAACAAGGATCTCCTGCTTCTACTGTCTCTTTTCTTCTCTCTTGTCCTTCCCTCTCTCTGCCCCTTATCTTCTGTTATGTCTGGTCTTCTCTCTCTGTGTCCTCTCCTTTTTCTGTCCTTTCTCCAAATAAACCAATTTTTATCCTCTGTTCCCCAGCTGTTGATGACTCTTAATCATTTACCCAGAATCTAAGTAGCCAAGGTAGACCTCACGATTCCTTTGATCAGAACAGACACCTAATTTCCTTTAGCTCCTGATAACTGTAAATGTTGACACTAGCCAGGTGTTAATTGTTTTCTCTAGATTCATAAGGCACTTCAATAACCACTTCCACTATAATGCCTGATAGGTTTTTCCTGTGGTCTATACAGACATTTCTGTTTGTCTACACGTAATAAACTACCACCTGTAACATCTGTCATCTTCTATATGAATATGACTATTGACATGAAGCAGAATTCTTAAAATGTTTTAATAGGTATATATGAAAGATTGCACACAACTTACTTGAAGGTTATAGGATAATTTTTCACAACTAAAAAAGTGTAGTGTTTCTTAGTTGTCAGTAGAACCTTTTTTTATTTCTTAAAGCTTCATGCTTAGAGTGCTTTTTAATGCTTTGACCTTTTCAAATTGAACAAAATCGTGTATCTGTAAGACAGCAAAATTACACCAGGTGTTCATGTGTACGCAGGTGTTTTAAACAGTGTGAATAATTTTGTCTTTCAGACGAGTCCTTTCCATTTGAGTTCTCCCCCCTTGTCCACATATAACCAGCAGCTGTGGCTCACATGTCTCTTCCAGCTGGACAAAACTAATGGTGAGAGGCCTTTGCCACTCTTAGCGGACACAGGCTTACTGCAACCTCTCGGAAGGCACAGCACGATAAAGCAGTGGTTACTGACATTTCATGCAGCAGTCCCAAACTTCAAGTGCCTGCTTGTTTCTTTTAAATTAAGCTAAAAGAAATGCCTGTTACAGCCTCTTGAAACTTCATCACCTTTTGTTTTCACCTGTATGTGTTGTCATTTACCCTGGAATAGACTTGTTACTAGAATTACCTCCTCTAATAATGGAATCATTAGACATTTAAAATAATGACTATGTCTATGAATATTTCAAACATTATGCTAAAGTTCTATTGATTTTATTTAGCTCCTATAATTTATTTGCCTTTTTTTTAAGCTGTGCAATTAAATTAGCCAATAATTATATGCTGTTATATTGCCAGAAATACACTTTATTAAACTAAATACTAAAGATTGTTTTTAACTGTTCTGGGTATGTTTATCTCAGCCCATAGAAATCTGATCCTGATTGTTTTTTTTGAGCATATGTACTTTACCACATGAAGTTTTTTTTAATGGTAGAGTCTCGAAGATCTTGAATAATGCTGAAAAGATTTCATTGCACAGATGTGTCTTTGACCTCGAAAGTTAATGCCGTTTGCTTGCTCTCTCACAGATGAGACCATTATTAAGAAGTTTGATATGAACGTGGAAATCAAGGGCGTCATGCATGATGCTAGCGTGAGGAACGTTACCAATAATGTCCATCACCGCTCCAGGTTACTCAGTTGTGGGTCTGTAAGTATTACATTTATCTGATTTGAACGGTTGTTATTTCAGTTAATAATGTCAGAGTGTTGCATTGGAAATAATTGTTTTTGTTTTATATACATGCATATGTATGAGATGATGTGTTCAAGGTGTAGGGAAGTGTTAGGGAAGCCCTATCGCTTTTCTTATTTGAATAAATTCAGGAAGTAAGTGGGGTACTTTTCCTAAGATGGTCTTTAATTATATATAATATTTATCAATAAACCTCCGGGGGACCAGGGGTCTGCTGTTCTGGTACTGGACAACTGGTGTGTTAGCAGACTTTATACCAACACCTGGATGTAGTTAAGTTGGGCTAATTAAAGCAGTGATGTGTTGAGAAAGGTAGTTAATAGTCTCTTTGGAATGCAAATCTGCAGACACATCAACCTGCAAGGACCAGGAATGGAACCTTGAAAGAATGTCATGGAGAACTGAAGCTTTTAAACAAACAGATCAAATTGTATTTTTATTTCAGAGGAATCAGTTCTCACTGAGGAGATGTCTTATGTTATGATCTGTATTTTTCAAACGGTTGTTGTCTTCTTCAATCCCAACAGAAATGCGATGAGATAATTGTACTACACCTTGGATATCTGAATTACACACAGTACCAGATAAACATCAGTTTCCATAATCTCTCTGACCTAAAATACAAAATTAAGGAGGTGAACTTCACGGTAAGAACTAAAATTGTTCAAGTAATAGGCACTTCTGTTGCATGCTTCTTTTTAAATAACATTAAGGTGTTCTATTGCAAGAAAACCTAGTTTCCTTCTAGCAAGTAGTAAAGGCTTCTAGTGAATTAAATAGTTTAAGATACAAATATTAATACTTAGAACTGGAAGTGTGGACAACTGTAAGGGTAAATGAATAAATAACTTTGTTGAGGTTGCATCTATGATTGGAACTGTTTATTATAAGAAAATAAATCAATTTAGATCAATTATTGTTAATTGTTATTGTTAATTGTGACATTGTATTTATCATCTATTATCCCTTTATTATGTTCTGCAGTGCAGGAACATGACATTTTCTATACGGATACATTTTATATTGGATTTGGTTTCAAGTTTATATACTGAATTGTTTTGAGCCGTCTAGAAATGTTTTAGTTAAATGTACTTAAGTATGCCAGCTGTTGTTTTATCGTGGTATGCAGGCCCATTCAATTAAGTGATTATCTATTTAATCTATCCTGAGCACAGTAACTGCTCAGGACCTGTTTCATTGTTTGACACATTTGGTGCGTACCTTTATCTGAGCTGCTTTTTTTTACAGTGGAAGATGTACAACTCATCATTTTCACAGGTTGAGATCTGGTTTCGGTTTGTGTTTGTGGTTTTGACATTCATGGTCACAGTAAGTGCACTACTCAAACTTTGCTTTCTTAGCTTGAATTGTGCTATTTTTCATCTATTGTAAGGCTTTAACAAGGTTAAATTGTTTGTGGTCAGCTTTTGTGGAGTACATCTTCAGTACATTTATACAAGATTAAAAGCTAGAGCTTTCAGGGTATATTCATGTCTTTCAATCAAGCTTTGATCTTGAATATTTATTAAGTGTGTTAATTGCTTTGTGTATGTAATGTGTGGTCACAAAGGAGACAACATAAGGTTTAAAATGTGTTGTTTAAAAAATGTATTTGTAATGGCGCAACACAGTGGAACAGTGGTTAGCATTGTTGCCTTGCATAGCTGGTCCCTGGTTCAATTCTGGACCTGGGGTGCTACCTATGTGGAGTTTGTATGTTTGTGGGTTTCCTCTGGGTGCTCTGATTTCCTTTCACAGTTCAGCAAAGACGTACTGGTATGCTGATTGGCTCCTGGAAACTTGGCCCTCGTGAGTGTGTGCGTGTTTGTGTGATGGGCTCGCATCCCATCCAGGGTGTATCCTGTCTCCTGTATCCATGCCTGTATCCATGCCCAGTATTTCCTTGAATAGACTCCAGGTCAGGGTGACACTGAATTGCTTAGGCAGCTATTGAAAGTGATGTGCTGCTGCATGGTTAGTGGGATCCTTGTCTGTTTCAGTGCTTGTTTGCGCACTCCTTGCGGAAGTTCTCCATGAGAGACTGGGGGATAGAGCAGAAGTGGATGTCCATCCTGCTGCCTCTGCTGCTGCTCTATAACGGTGAGCCACGGTCGTCTTGTGCCACAGCTCATTATTGTTTTATTTTGGGGGTGTTTTGTTTAAAAGGTCAGAAGTCATTCTTTATTCAGTTAACTATAACACAGTATATCTTTGGGGTTTTGTAAACAGTATTTGTTTAAAGTGACCGTATTGCATTTCCACAGAGTTGTGAAGTTCTTCCAGAATATTTTTAACCACTAATAAAGTCGACTACAATAAAATTGGTTCTGCAAAGAATGTGTACATTCTCAAGCCCTTGAATGAAAATGTTAAACCTTTTAACAGTGTTTGACTGATCATTTTGTTGTAGATCCGTTCTTCCCCCTCTCGTTCCTGGTTAACAGCTGGTTCCCAGGAATGCTGGATGACCTTTTCCAGTCCCTGTTCCTCTGCGCCTTGCTGCTCTTCTGGCTGTGTGTCTACCATGGGATCCGGGTTCAGGTAAAGCTCGGAAAAAATTCCATGTCTTCACTCTATTAAGTGATGTTTGAAATGCCTGATGTTTTTTTTTTTGGATATCAGAATATCGTTTTACTTTGGACATAGCTGTCAATGGGTGCATTCCCATTGATTTTTAGTTACAATACATTAGCATTTATAGCTTGATTATGCTAAAGGTGCTTCTTGACTCCTTCATGTGTGACTGTAAGTTTCAAGTCAGCTCTCTTAGCCCAGAGTATTGATTCAGTCGAATCAAGTACTTTGGATGTGGCATAGTAAAGTAGTTTCATAGTATTGTCTATTATTGTACAGTATATATACTGAGTGGAGTTCAAAAGCAACAATTACTGTTGGTTCTATAAGCATTTGTTGCCTTTTCATGCCTTTTTGGTATATATATATGTAAAAATATTATTCTTTCAAACACTGTAGTTTAGTAAGAACTTCAGTGGTTTGATGCCATTCCAATCCAGTCATACAGAATCATTAAATATGTAACCTTTCTAGCTGCATAAGGCCTTCTGTATAAGCGTGGTGTTGATTGAGCCAGAGTATCATCATTTATGTTGGGAATCTCCATTTCATTCCTAGAACAAATGTTTTATGTCCATTTTGAAAAAAGAGCACTAAAGAATTAACATACTTAATAATAATAATAATAATAATAATAATAATTGCCCACACTTACATAGCGCTTTTCTGGACACTCCACTCAAAGCGCTTTACAGGTAATAGGGACTCCCCTCCACTACCACCAATTACTTGTAATGTAATTTTTTCCAAATAACAACAGAGAGCACAGATCCATATTCATAGCTCTTTTGATGCGGTCTTTCATTTTCCATCTAGGAGATAAGAGTCATGTGTAATTGTTTTTCTAAATAGTAACTGCGAAGCCGTATTTTTATTTATAAACTTTTAAAGAGGATTTTGCTAAAATAATTTTCATAAATGCTTTCAGTGTCTGTGTCAGAGATATGCTATGTGAAACTTTTTCATTAAACAAAACAGCATACTAAAAACGGCATAATTCAACTTATTATGTGACTTATAATGACGATTGGTTGCACCAGAGTCTATTTAGGTGCGTCATAGCAAAGGTGGTGAATACTTACGTGGGTTATTTTCTGTTTTATATTTATTATTAATTTAGGAGGATCTGTAGATATTTGTTTTCACTTTGACATTATAGCGCACCAATCAATGGCAAAAAATCCCGATTAAAAACATTATGATTCCATATTGTCCATGGGGTGTGAATACTTGTGATATTGTACTGTATATTTTCAAGTTTCCATGCATACTCCCCATTGTATATGCAGGTTATGGTCGCTGAGAAGAAACCCACTGCATGATCACCTCACTAACCTATTTAAATTTAGCAGTTCTCTGTCCATTTTTCACACACTTTGCCAATGGATCACTAAGATCCTCTGCCCCTAAACCTGCAATTAGTTGTTAAAAAAGCAGAATTTAGCTCCCTCCATAATTATTGGACAAAATCCTAACCATTTTTGGCCTAGGTTTTGAACGGAATATTACTTTTCAGTTACAAGATCATTTATCTGTCAGTAAAAAGTATCCTGGTCCAAATCAATACACTGCATTTAAACAGCTCCTGTTAAGGTCAGTAATATTTTTCTGAACACTGATTTTTTTTATTCATATTTGATGGATGTCAGTGCTGCCTTTAATACTGTTGATCATAACATGTTGCTGAACAGATTGGAGAGTGTTGTTGGGACTGGTGGTACTACTGTGCTTGGTTGGTGTTCCTTGTTGACAAATTGGTCTCTTCTAGTATCTGAAAGGGCTTTGTTCTTGGTCCATTTCTTTTTCATGTCAATATGTTACTTTTGGATCAGATTCTTCATCAGTACTGCATTTATGCAGTATTCACTTTCATGCTGATAGCACAAGTTTGTTTCCACTTCAACTGTGAAAAATCAAGCACTCTATTTCACTCGAAGTCATCAAAGACTTCTATTCTTTTATTTTATCTTGGATAAGAATAAAGTTATGCTGTTTGGTTTTTCTTATCAGCACCACAACTGTATTACCTTTAGCTAGACTCTTGAAAGTCCTGGAATCTGTCTGATGTTTAGGTCAGGAGTCTTGATGTCTTATTTGATCCCAGTCTATTATTTGAAGCTCATCTTTGCAGTATTGTGAAAAGGGTGTTTTTTTCTACTTTAAAACTTTGTTTCTCTTTCCGTTTTATCTCTCTCAATCTGATGTTGAGAATCTAATGCATACTGTATATGTATCTTCCCCAGACTTGATTATTGTAAGTGCTTGCTGGTATTTCAAGATGTTTTGTCTTCCTTTTTAAGAATTCAGATATGAAACTGAAATGCAAGAACATGTATCTTCTGTTTACACTTTATTGCAAGCACTCACTGTAAATTAATTAGTTTCAAATTTAAAATAAAATTTTTAATGTTAATGTTTCTAGAACTTGTTTGACTATTGACACCAAAAAAACCTTTACACCTATATGTTTGTACTTCCAGTTTGTACTTCCAGTAGTACTCAAAACTAGGCTCCATGATTTCTGTTCTACAGCCTCAAGACTGTGGAATATTCTCCCTGAAACAGACGTTCTTACGCTAGTTTTGAATTCTATTACTTGTGGGTTCATGTGTTGTTTTCAGAACATAAGACAGTTTTCAAATTAGCAACTATTGTATTTAACTTATCTGCTTTGTTAGTTTGCAGCTTATTGATGTGAAGATCCAGTTATTTCTTGAAAGAGCCAGGTTTACCAATTTCAACAATATGGCTGAATAGCTTGTTCCAGACCCCCACAACCCATTATGTAAAAAATGCCTCGTAATCTCAGTTTTAAACCGATTCCCTACAGTTTACACTTGTTTCCTATGTTTGGTGTTAATCTGTTAATTTTGTAAGAGGTCCGTGTACTTTGTCAATACCTTTGAGTAGTTTGAATACGTCTACCAGGTTCCTGGATATCTGGTTGTTCTTTTCTGGACTGATACCTGAGTAATAAGATTTTTTTCTTCACTACAGTGAACAAAAGTGTACATTATATTCTTAATATTGTCAATGAGGCCTTATCAGTGCATTGTACAATTTTAACATAACATCCGTTGATTTCAATTCATAGCTTATATGTATGTATCCTAACATTCTGTTAATCTTCTCACTTGCTTCCAAGCATAACATCTTAATAAACAGCTTCTTCAAACTCAGTGTATCCCATTGATTTCTGCTTTAGACTGTGCACATTAGATGCCATCTGCCAGCTTTGCTCAGGCTTGATTTTTGTCTGTCTTCTTGAATTTCCTTTGTAGCTTCTGCAGTATCTAGTAATCCATATAAATTTGATCATATATCCAAATATGTAACTCTGGTGCTGCAGGGCTGGTGTCTCTGCACATTCTCATTCCAACGCAGCCCTTCAGTTTACTAAATCACATTACTGTCTTAACCGGACCAGTGTACCACTTGTGTCTATCAGCTCTTCGGGTACTGTGCCTGTAAAGAGACATAGAAAATCTGCAGGAACACCAGCCCTCCAGGACTGTAGGGTTGGATCAGCATGTTTAAATATTTGCCTAACTAAACTGGTTAAACATTTTTCCAGGTGTTAAGCTGGTGATAATATTAAGGGATTCTGCTGCTGAGCACTGTTACTATGTGATTAAAAATATATTTTAGCTGAAACCTAGCAATGGTCCTTTCTGAGACCTGTGTTTTTTTTATTGAGAACATGTGCTGTAAAATTAATTTCCTGTTGAAATGAACACTTCTTTAATACAGCTTTCTTTAAAAAACTAAATCTTGTAGTAATACTTATATCTCTGTGTGTTTTTTTATTGTAGGGAGAGAGAAAATGTTTAACATTCTATATGCCCAAGCTGTTTATCGTGGGCCTCCTGTGGTTGTCTGCAGTGACACTGGGAATATGGCAAACGTGAGTCACACCTAAACTTACTCTTGTTTCTGGATGCTACGTTATCTGCAAGAGTTTTCTAAGTGTGACAAGTTGGTGCTAACTTAATGGTTGTGTTTTAAACTATGTAGTATTCGCAAAGCAGTATTTAAAAGCAGTCTAAATTTTCTGTGCAGTTTCATGTACGTTTATACATAGTGGATTGCAGTAAATTATGGACATTGTTTCTGCTTTTATTAACATTCTGCATCTTAACCTATAATGGTTTAGAGCAATGTATCAGTGTGCGGCACTGCCTTCCTGAGACTTGTCTGAGAGCTGTGTATTTGACTGTACTTCTCATGCTCTCAGGGTTTAAGACTCTAGACGGATTAAAGAGCATCTCAAAGTCTCTGGAGAGAATTTTTTGTAATGGTTGCTCCTTACTGATCTTATTTAAAAATTCTCCCACATTTGACCCATATGGAAATGCTGATTCCTGATCAGCTCGACACTCAGACGCTAATATCACAGAACCACAGAGCTGGAAGTTTACTCCTCAGACATTTCCACCTGCAGGCCTCTGGAATTTTCAATTTTTCCACCATGCCTTATAGAAGAGCAATAACTGACAGGAGTAGCAGCACATCTCTCATTGTTTCCCCCGCAAGTCCAGAAAGCTGAGGAGCTCCAGCCTACTTAAGCCCACCCAAGATAGCAGCATTCTGCCTCCTGTGTGCCATCGCCTGGGGAATCCTGCACATAGTTGCCTAGTGTTTTAGCTGAAGCAGGAACTGGGAATGTGTGGATTATAGGACTAAAGGGCTCTGAGGGAGAGATTTCCACATGGGTGAGCCTTTTGGGAAATCCCCTTACTACAGCTTTGAGACCCAGAAAACCTAATAAGCCAGAGAGGGGCCTTTGTTATTTGTTTCTGCCAAATGCACTACACCTGTACTGTGTTTTCCCTCCGGAATGTGGTTAATTGCCCTTTTTAATGTGTTCAACAGGAGTGGCTTTTATTGAGGTCGCCTGGAGTAAATATTAGGATGCAGCTTATGTATAAACATAAAGGTCACACAAAACCTGCATCCTAATAAAATCATTGAAGATTTGGGACATTTGCTTGTTTTTACATCACTAGCTATGTAATGTATAAAAATAAAGCGTATAACTTAGGATTGAAAAACATTTATTTGCTGCAGTGCCAGATCCAACTAAAAACTGAAATATACAAAAGCTATAATGTCCCTTCTTACTTGTTTTACAGAGTAAATGAATTGCATGATCCAACTTACCAATACAAAGTAGACACAGGCAATTTCCAGGTAAGTAAGAAGTACTTTTAATAAGCAGCCTGTCTAATTTAAATAGAAAACAACTATTTAATACTTAAGTATTAAAATGTGTGCTGTGCTACTGTAGAGTTGGACTCAGACAGGTCTTATATATTATAAATAATTATATTTTGTCTAGCTGTAGAGCCATATACATACAGGCTTAATGTTCATATTTCAAGAAGCTCATGAATTATTGGAGTTAAACGCTCCCATGTTCTAGAACTTTGTTACAGTCAACTCTGATAATGTTGGTCTTATTTATTATTTATATTAATCTTATTTGTAATTTGATCGTTTTCAGATATTTGTCAGTTGTGGTCTTGCAGTTCAGGCATATTGGAAGAGATGAATCTTTGCAGTCTTTTTGATGTGATCTGTGATGTGATCAAATGGGAGATTATTATATCTGTCATTTGCTGAATAGAATTAATAGGCAGGTATCTTCCCCCTTAATGTTTTAGTGATGATGATGATTAATCAAACATCGAGTATAATTAAATTATTTCCAATTGAAAAGAATGGGTATAGATTACAAGACCAGTACAGTTCAAAGCCAGTATCTACATCCCTGTGCATTATATTTATCATCTATATGGTATCTTACCAGGAACACCTTTCAGGGTGTTTTTTAAAGTATACTGTAATTGCCTTAAATTGTAGAAATGAAAATCAATTCAGTTTCACTACTACAAATTAAAAATCTATTTACACAGTTTCATTTTAGTAAAGTATGGGATAACAAATAATTTAATGTACAATACACTTACAAAAATGTTTTTTTTTTCTCATTTCAGGGAATGAAGATTTTCTTTGTGGTTGTGGCTGCCTTATACATTTTGTATCTGGTCTTTTTGATTGTGAGAGCCTGTTCCGAATTGAAAAACATGCCATACGTAGGTATGACTCTTCATCATTTATGTACTTCCTAAACTGTTTAACAGAACCCAGTGTGCATTTCTGAGTGAAACATGTGCTTAATATTTGTCCAGATCTTCGACTGAAGTTTTTGACAGCACTGACATTTGTCATTTTGATAATAAGGTAAGTCTTGTACACACAAGTACAGATATTGCCCTTTCCTAAATATTACCTATCCAAAGCCTTTAAAATTAAGGGGTTGTTCACTTACTGTAGTTATATCAAGAGCAATTCAAGTTGTCTTTGTCATTGATTTTGCTATGATTTTGTATGAAGACATGATTTGCTTACCTTCACTGGCAGCTTCTCCTATTGTTTGTCCATGTTCTACAAGAAGTAAAGCACATTTTTTTTGTATTTTGTGCATTCGTACGAAAGACATTCATCTGGCAGAATTATAATTTAACTACTGTAAGTCAAACTCCAGTTATTATGGTCTGCTAATGATCATCACAGTGTAAAAACAGTATTTATATGTGTAAAGAACTGTTGTGTTTATCTCTAGAGTGTGATGCTTTTCTGGATAAGTGGTCTGTATTTTTCTGAACATGTTCAGTTGTGGAAGCTCTCTCTTTTTTTTTCAGCATCGTGATACTCTACCTGAGGTTTGGGTCAAAGGTTCTCCAAGATAACTTTGTTGCTGAGCTGTCAACACACTATCAAAACTATATCCTTTGGCATGAAACGGCAGTAGCAGCCTGTGCTTCCCTGCTTCTTTGCTCATCCTGTACTTGTGAGAGATGTCATGTGTGGTTGACGTTGCCAATCTAGATCTAGAAACTACTTTTCGTATTGACACATATTCAGACTTCCGTGTGGCTACATGGATAATTGGAGTACATTTCACTTTAGGATGACTTATCTAAGCAGAAACAGACATATTGCTTTGCAAATAAAATCCACAATTCATAATACTTGACAACAGAAGTCACACAATCCCCAAAGACATAATTTATTATATTTTAATTGCGTTAAAACATTCCTTAACATAATGAATACCAGCTGAATTTTTATCCTTCTATGGCTTACTCAACTTCTACCTTTACACGTTAGCGTTTGTCTACTCCCCTTCGAAAAATGCACTGTACGGTAAGTGACAGCCTGCTTGGGCATCAGAACAAGTGTTTTTTATTCCAGTTAGTTCCTTTTTATACAGTTCTGCAATACTTTTATTACAACCCTTATGCAAATGTATCTTTTACAGTGTCTGGCCTAGTAGCAAATGACAAATGTACCATTTTAGAATTTCTTTGACTCAGTTGTGATAACTTCGTTTTACACTGTTTACAAGTCAAAGACAATAGAGGCATTTAAAACGTTAGACACAAGGTGTGCTCAATTTTAAAATGAATGCCCTTCTGTGCAGATTCCCAGCTGAAGGATAACCCTGCTTTTTCGATGCTGAATGACTCTGATGATGAAGTCATATATGGGTAAATACAGCAGTTATTTATATTTTTACGTTTACAAATTTCTCAAGTTAGTAGCCTCAGCATCAAGAAATGAGGTATACTACTTTAATTAGAATGCAGCTGACCAAAAAAGTAATTCACTTGCATTTTGTTTTGGGAAGGAGTGACTATGAAGAAATGCCTCTCCAAAATGGGCGAGCCATTAAAGCCAGCGCCAAGTACCAAGACGACACCGACAGCGACTGAGCTACATCCTTCTCTGACATGAAGCGAGGACGTTTAATTAAATAAGGGTTAAACTTTGGTAGCGATCTAATAACACCTCAGTGTGTAAATACCGCACGTTTCACTGAATCTAATGTATATAGACATATTTAAATTGAGGAGTCAAGTGCCATTGAATGTAATTTACTACGCAGCCACACACTGAAGACCGTTGGTCAAAAGATTTTGCTACCAAACATTGACTTGAATGGCAAAAAGAAACCAGCACCAGTGGTGTAATGTGTGTTTCCCACTACTTAACAACCCCCCAAGTTATTTTCTGTATAGAAAACCTTTTACTTGTGTTGCAGGAATAGTTTGACAAAGTAGGACAGAATGTGTGAGAATCCAACGGAACAGTGAATGAAATGGTTTTAGATGTAAAATACAAAATCAGCTTTGGCTTAAATCTGTATGTAAATGGGTGGAGAGATATTTTATTTAGTCTGTGAAACCTGTTGTAATGGTTAGTGGTCTCTTGAAATGTGCCACTTCTGCTTGCTTCAGCCTGCCAGTCCCTTCACAGCTCTAAGAGGGGTTCTGTTGGTGAGAGCTCTTGTACAATACATGAAACTGTTTACAATGTTTTTTTGCATCATCATTCCATCCAGCTTTAGTATTGCACTTTGTTTTTGAGTTAAATGTTTAAAGTCTACAAGGTATATAAAAGTTTTACAAGGTGACCTATTAAAATAAGGTGTGCAACTGTTCTGCTTCATAAGAGAATGTATTTTCTTTAATGATAATGACTTTTTTTGTACATGGTAAATGAGGTTTTGACTCTGTTGTCTTACATCATATTCTTTGATTGTTACTGTTATTTGTTTTTTAATATAGAAAACCCAGTGCTACTGTATAAATACAGTTGAGGAGTTGATGCTGAAACGCTAGAGGGATCAAGATGAGTTTGACTCACTGACACATTCATGCAAAGTAATGAGTCTTTAAAATAGAAGAATCAGTATTTATAAAACATTATTAAAAATAAAAGGAATTTTAGTTTACCTTCTATTGGCCCCTATTTCCATTGTCAAATGAAATGCATTAAGTTTGCATTCTGAAGTTTTCAGAAAGACTAAAGACGCATTATAACTTCAAATTTGGATAAGAAGGAGAAATTAATATGAAAGCTTTACCTCGAAATTTAATATGGTTTAATAAAAGCTAAGTGCTTTTTTAAAATGATCATCAGTGTCTTGCATCCATTTAAAAAATATTTAAGGCACTTTATAAATGTAGCGTTAGCTCTTTAAGTGGTGTATTGGAATCTGGTAAAATGGAAATCTAAAAAGAACATTAATTGCAATGTTACACATTAGTAACCTTTGACCTCAATTAATTTTTCTGTGTTTTTTTTTCATATTTAATTAAGTAAAAATGAGTAAACCTTTGTGGGTAAAATACAGGAACTTCCAAACACCACAAGACATAAATGCTTTAAAAGATAAATTACACTTTACTATAAAGTCTACTTTGATCTAATATGGTGACTTATTACAAGATGCTACTTTAATGTACAACTAATTTCCAAAAAACGTCTGAATTGTGCACTGTATAATATAGATGAATCCTAAAATCTTGATTTAAACTGTTAATCTCTACTCAATATGCATCTGTAACAGGTACTCTACACTACATAAAAAAGGAGAGTATCATCCATGTATGTCATGGATCTAAACTGTTAGGCTTTGAAGCAGATCTTAACTGTAATCAACAAAAATGGAGGAGGTTATATATTGGTTGCTTCCTTAAAATGTTAATTTGTGCCTTGCATTCAACTTACCACACAATATAAAGTAATCATATTTTACCATAAATTCCTAATAAGATGGTGCCAAACGCTTGATGTTTAAAACTACAAACGCTAATGAAAATCTTTTGTTTTGAAAATGTATGCCGTTTGTTAGATATTGGTGGTTTGAATGTAGCAACACTGTAATATATTTTAGACAAAAGACTGCAGGCTAACTCAATGTGTACCTGCATTATACCTCTAAGAAGTAGGTAAAGGTGTTCTTTTTGGGAAATGTTTTGTTCTTGGGGGGGGGGACATTCAAATAAGGAAGATGCCCTCATTGGCACTGACAAGTGTAGAATTGTTTTGAACAGCTGTCTGTAATCCATTGATAGCTCTGGAACAAATCACTGTAAATACAGTATAAACCATGCTTCTGTTCAAGATACAAATCCATTAAAAAAAACTTTTTAAAAACACCATTCCTCCACATTTAGTCTATTTTATATAGCTCTATTTTGATAACAGGATCTGCCAAAGATCTGACGTCACAGTATAACAATATAGAAGAAAAAAGGGTTAAATTAAGCAATTTTTAGATTGTATCTTTACTACTTTGAAAACTTCATGAGATAGGTCAGTTGTCTTCACTTCAGTAAGTACATTGTATGCATGCTACAAAACTATGAATACCTTTGTTACCTAAATATCATGGAAAGAGTCTTAAAGTATACACAAACTGGTTTAGGAAACAAAAATCAGAGTGCAGATCTGCCAAACTTACACAGTACATTAAAAATGAAAACAATTCAGAACATAATTTAAACTAAAATATAAAAGGAATACTGAATTAATTTCTTTACTTGAAGTATGTTTGTTCTGACAAAAATATCATATAGAGGTATACTATATGTGTTCACCCATATGCAGTAAATGGTAGAGGTTTTAAATCATTTTTTAAAATGAACATACAGTACAAGCGACTTCTTTCATGCTACTGAAATATCGTTTATAAGTGCAACAAAAATAATTTGTGTTAAATTCTGCCCAAATAGGGTCTACACATTTTTTCTAGATAGGGAATTGAAAACCAAACCGTGCTTTAAAGAAAATGACCACCACATTTCGTCAGGGGTTTCTGAATACTATTCCATTTAATACACAAAACAACATTTCAGCTCAGAAATTCAGTTCACACAAAACATGGGACAGTTTAGACAGTGACATACATTTAGATTAAAACACCTATGAAAAGTTATTTTCTATGGAAATAATGTACAAATAGTGTTAAAGTATCTATAAAACTAGTAAACTAGTATTTACTGTTTCAGTAATTTGGTGTGTACTGTTGAATTTTATATAGCAAGCCCAAAGACACTGACAATACAATACATGGTTTTATTCTCCCATCTCACGGTACAGCTCCCTGTAAAAAGAAAAAGGTATAATCGTAAACGTTTTTTCCTCTTCCTCTAAAATAAGATCTATGTACTGTACATCTCAAAAGAGGAGTAAGCTATCTGCAACTATAAATCTTAACATAACTGTAAAAGTCTACCACAGCTATTTATTCGTTACCCACTTAGGATTCTCTATGCTTCAACAAAGCGTGTTAAAATTGAGACTTCTGTATATCGTTTGTATTTTTTGTCCTTTATTTCAAATATACAGTGAGCATAGAAACATTATTTGTAACTGCAACAAATTCACAGTGTAATCAGGTAAATTACTTGTTTGATGTACCAGTAGTTGCACTGGCATTTTATAGAACCGGCACAGGTAAATTCATCATGCTGACTTTGAAACTCAAATAGCTCTGAGCCTGGGGGATTCTGTACTATTTCTCTCACAGAATCTGCACAAGCATATGCGTGTTAACTAATCTCCCTATGCCACACATCACCCCAGCTCTTCCCATACTGTAGATGTACAGTGATGGGAACGTTGGCCCAAGAGCAGCATGAGGACATTCATTATCCTGCTGGAAGAATGTCATGTCAGGATGAACCCAGGGAATCTGCAGCAAGCGAGGTCCTACCTGATTCATGTGCAGATTGTCATCATCAAGGGTCCTGTAGTAACTTGACCCATTTGTCCAGACCATCATACTGAGGTTATGACGTGTTAACCTTGGAACCTTGGAAAACACTCACTACTTTGGGTCTCCCAGGTTGTTGCCTGTTATTGATGGACTGTTCAACTACATCTTCTAAGATTAGAATGTGCTGGCATCCCAGAAAGCTAACTACAGAGCACTGACTTAGCCCAGCCTCCAGCATACAAACAACACAAAGGCACAGCTCTCTTGATAACCAGGGCACACTGAACTCAGAGGCCCAGAGCTGTATAACAGCAATGCTAACCAGTGTGCCTCCCTAATATCCAATGTCCATATACTTTATTTCTCTAAACCATGTATAGAAGGACAAGTTTATTGTGATGCTTATATGTAATCTGAATCCCACCTTTCATCTCCTTCACCCCTCCCATCAGTAATGCCCCACAATGCAGATATGTTTAGGAGTGATTTTAAAAGTTGTAGTGCTTAATAAACCCAATTTCAAAATCACTTAATAAGATGTTAGGCCATCACTTGAAGCCAGTATAGCCCTTATAGACTATGCATTGCGTGTACTCGCACCTGATTAATGGAAGTGGAAAATGCTGTCATTTCACAATATGTCAGATCAACTGACTGAAAAGGCTATGACACATGGGTAACATCAGAGTCAAGCTCATCAAACCACTGGGTGATCACACATGCTCTGTGGATGGGGGCAGTGTCATTCTGGAAGACACCCCTCCCAGCAGGAGAGAAATGCAATGACATGGAGTGACAATGACCACTCAATACCATTAAGTAGCGGTTAACATTGACCCTGCCTTCTAAGGGAATGAGTGCACCCAAAGCATGCCAGGAAAATGCATCTCACACCATTACAGAACCACTCGAACCCCTCAGTGTTGGAATCAAGCACTCAGGACTGTAGAGGATTTTAGGTTGGTGCCTCACATGCACTTGTCTGTTTATCAAGAATGCAAAGCATAATTCATGTGAACGTAGCCCATTTCCACTCTGCTCAACAGTCCACTGCCTTTGCTCTTTACTCCACTAGACTCACAGACGTACACTGCCAGGTGTGATGTGCAGATTGTGCACTGCAACCCCACTATGGTATCTTGCTCTGTGGAGTTCTGGACAGACTCTTTTTGATATAACGGGCTGTTTGTTCCCAGTTTTAAATTTGTATTCAACTGATCTGCAGCTGCTTGCCTGTCAGAATTGCACTTTGAATTAAAACATGGATTTCACAAGCCTGGAGTATCTCCTCTGCTGGTTTCCCTTCGAGTTCCATCTTACCTTTATCTTAAATACCACCACACAGGAAACAACAAGCAGAGCTTTGTTGGTTACTGAACCTCCTGCCAAATGAGCTTCAACAATCGCCCCTCTTTCACAGTTACTGAGGTCTCTTGCAGCCATGCTAACTTGTAGATGACCAGACCTGCCCAGCTTTTTATACCAGACCCTAAGCATCCTGGGATGTTACTTGCCTAATTTACACCTGAGACACACCCGTGTGAAAGTCCTTGCTTTCAATATACTTGGCGTTTCTCATATTAACACGTTTCCTTTGTATGTACACTATAAATTTAAACAATGACAGCCATCCCCCCCCCCACAAAATTATTAAACTCAGTGCTCTCATTTTTTCTATATAAAAATAAGGCTGGGTTGAAACAGTAGGTATGTGGTCAAGAATAAAAGTCCTCTCACAAATCACAGTAATCCCATTACTTCTCCCTGAGTAATGGCCTCTTACGTCAAGACACTATTTTCCTGGTCTGTTTTTGGTGTTCAAGAATCTTTTCTGCTAGAGGATCAAAACAAAAAGGGAAATCAAAGTGTCCCCTCTGTGTCTGCCTCTCTGTCCTCTACATACCATCAGTGGTGTTATCCCAGAAGCAGGAACTAGCAGTCTGAAGGCCTGCCCCATTCTTCTGCATGATGATACAAGTCACTATGGGAAGAAGCAGGGTGATCCTTATCATTTTTTCCACCCGGATGTAGATAAGAGTATTCAAAACTTTTTTAGGTTTTACATTTGTGCTGAAAATAAATGGATATCTAAATATCAAACAAACACTGGCACAACTATCACTAAACACAAAAACTAGAGGTTTTCTTGGAACTAGTGATAAAGAACTCAAAAAGATTAAATGACCATTATGAAATGCTTTAGAGTAATGCTCATAAAAGGACTTTGGAATTGAAAGCACAATAAGATAAAGTGTACTGCTTGAGCAAAACAGACACATTGTAAGTAGTAAATGGGGATCCATAGCTTTGTAAATCATGGCTGGTCAAAGTTAAGGACAATTATTTAATAAAGGTTTTAATCAAAGGGGAAATATTCAAGCTATTCAGTTTCCTATACTAGCCTTAAGCAAAAATAGATACAAAAATGATCAATTCTTAGAAAAAGATAAAAATCTAAATTCTGACATGACAGATCTTGATCATTCTTAGTTTGCTTAATCACCTTTCCCTTTCTGGAGGGATAAATCCTTCCAGTGCTTATCAGATCAGACGTTCTGAGTTATCCACAGTTACCAAGGAGCAGACAAGATCCTTTGCTCAGACCTACCAATATACTTGAAAGGCTTGCCCAGCTTTGTCAGCTGACTCAGGCACTGCTCCACGACATTCGTCGTCCACTGGTTGACCCTGCTGTGCTGATAGGCATTTCCTCCTATTACGCCTTCGACAGACTGGGGCACAAATAATTTGAAGTTCCAGCTTTAGCATCTTTAGAAAATCACAACTGATTAAGAGAGGGGAAGTTTGAAATGAAGGAGAAAGTACAGCATTCACACAACATGCATTTTATGTAAGGTTTAATTTAGCAAAGAAAACATCCCCTGACCATTTACTGCAAGGCAAAGCTGAGAAGGGACCACGACAGAATATGGGATGTTCGAAAGGAGAGCCCTCACCTCCTTGATAATGGAGCTGACTTCATCAACGACAAAGACAATCTATAAAAACAAACAAAGGAAGTCAAACTATGATCATAATATAAAATTCCATTAAGGATATACACTGGTAACAATAACATTACAAATACTGTAAAGCAGCATCACTGCAGTGTGGACCTAAACAACACCTAAGCCACACAGCATTTGTGGCTTTTTAAAAACAATTTAAAACTTTAATTTCACCCTCCGTGATACTTTTAGAACATAAGCCTCACATAAATCAATAAGTACCTTAAGTAACCCATTTATACAGTTAGGGTACGTCACTTAACAGTGATATGGCAACTTTATTTTTATGGGAAAAAAGTAGACATTGGGTAGCATGGTGGTACAGTTGTAAACAATGCTGCCTCACAGCACTGGGGACCTGGGTTCAATTCAAGAGCTGAACTGCTATCTGGGTGGAGTTTGTATGTTCTCCTCATGTTCATATTGGTTTCCTCCAGGTTTTACAATCCAAAGACATTGTGATAGTTTAGTTATTTCCTGGAGAACTGGCCCTAGGTATAAATGTCTGGTGTATCCTCCCTTGAGCCCATTGGTTGCTGGGATAGGCTCCAGCTCCCCCATGACCATAATATGGAAGGAGTCAGTAGAAGATGGATGGATGGAAAAATAATTATTGTTGTTGCTTATACAGTCAATGTAGGGCTTGGTCTACAATACGATGCTGACATTTTTTATAACACTCGTGTAATCTGTAACTTAGATCTGAAGTGGAAAGAACACTAACCAGACACCCTTTGAAACAAAAACACAAACTGGTATTTACGTTTTTAACAAACATTTAACAAATCACAAAGACCTAGCATAACTGAGAGAAATGTAAATAAATGTAAATAAATAATAAATATCAATGCATGAAGGTCTAAAGAGCTAGCTGAAACTAGAAAACAATGTCTGCAGACAACACATGTGACTGATGGTAAATTAGGGGTTAAATGTGCGATTTCTGGGGAAAACTTTCACTTTATTAAACATCAACATCAAAATCACTTCCCTGGTGTTTTGCTAAACCTGCGTTTTTTATCGATTTTGTCATTGAACAGCCCATATAGTAACAACAATCATTAACCACGTTAAAACAACTGTATAAAAACGTCTCAGTTTATTAAATTAAATTTGTAATGCAGATCTTGTTAAAAGCAAGGCTACAAATACGTCATGGGGAAAATCGAATTCGAAAAAATCACATCAATAAAACGTTTAAAATTGTAACACATTTTAAATTTCCAATAAAACACTCTTTTCTAATAGCTCATAAACGAAAACAGTCAAACCGATGACATACGCAGCCTACTGTACACAGCACGGATTTTGCAGTTGAAATCCATCAAGAACGTCAAAAGAATCTCCCGACATTCAAAAATATTACAGAGGAGACTAACGTCTCATCTTAACTTCATCGGTCCAAAGAAAAGCGAGGATGTCAAAAATACATAATTTCCCCCGGATAAAGAGACCACCCACCTCCAAATCTGATAAAATCATCACGCTTCCCTCCCCCCAACAAAAGTCATTCAGCTGGCTTCAGATGACTATTAATAATACCTGAACCAGAATAATAGATACGAGGCTGAAGTTGACTTCTTATTCGCCAGCTTCTCGTATTATATACGGTGATGTTTACTACGCAACCGTTAACCTTCTTTAATCTCCGCACTCAAAACAATCAAAGGACTTCTGTTCTTAATACTAATGTCTACTTGTTTCGAGTATGACTGTGGCTTATTTTTAACACTGATCTTATTTCATGTCTGAAAAGCGCTGTACCTCCTCTCCAGCCTGAAACTCATCCATGTTGCCTCCCAGCAGACACTCCTCGCCTCGCCTTAGAGCGCATGCGTAGATCCTGATCCCGGCTGAACAAAGGACGGCGGATTAAGGGCTTGGAGTAAAATCGCACAATAAAGCGGAGGGGGTGTGATTCCGTCTAGGTCACGATTTGGAATAGGTCATCTTTTGGTGCTGTACAATTCAAATATAAAATGTGTTGTGAAAATGTGCCCTACATATTCCAATGAATTTTTCTGAACATTATTAATGCATTCTTAAATCTAGTCCTTTTTCTGTTATTGTTTTGAAGTCTGCTAACACCTGCAGGCTATTTCTAAACTATCTCTAAGGAACATAACCCGTTACATAACAACATCAACTAAAGCGACATGTCCCATTCAATGCAAAAGTTACGAAATAGCATTAAAATATAAAGAAACCAGGCATGTGCGAAGGCTTCGAAAGCTCAAAGGCTTACTGCTCAGTACAGTTCAAGGGTCACAGAGCTCTCCTTAAATTCGCCTCGTCAATTTTATTTGGCCTCGACGGTTCCTTATTTATATGAATAATTTAGATGGTGGTGCAGTCAGTAAACTCATCAGAAAACCAGATCACGCAAATAGTAAAAAAAAAATACTGCTTTAGCAGTGTAATCAATTTAGGAGACTTAACTAAACTCAAAATCTCGATAAGTGCAACAAGACTGTGCATGCCAAATATCAAATGGCTGGTACTAAGTTAATGGAAGCAATTTATACAAAGAATCTGTGATTACATGCCATGAAAAAATGGTCTGACTTTCAGACCTAGTGATACCCCATAAGAAAAAACAATATTCATAAGAACTGGAAGACACTGGAACAAAGATGGGAATCTTTGTAAGTATTTGCTGACCGCAAAGCCCTACAGCGGGCGGTGAAAACTGCCCAGTCCATCAGTGGGGTTACCCTCCCATCTATCCAGGACATTTATGACAGACGGTGCTTGAGGAAAGCTCTAAGCATAATCAAAGACCCAACACACCCCAGCTACAGACTTTATGATCTGCTACCATCTGGAAAAAGGTACCGGAGCATTCGGGCCCGGACTACCAGACTCAGAGACAGTTTTTAACCCCGCACTATCAAACTGTTAAATTCCCAGCCTCTCTCACTCTCACTCTCACCTCACCTCTCACCTATGATCTGAACCTCACAGTGCCTTCTTCCTTTCTTTCTTACCAAAAACCCAAACACACATTGAAAATCTACCTCTACCATACATGTCAAAAGCTCACTCCCCATAATTTCTATCCCTTTATTTTATTCTGTTGATGCATATTTGTGCACATAACCTGTTACCCTTTTGTTGTTTTGCACATTGCCTGTTGTTGTTTTTTGCACATTGCCTGTTGTTGTTTTTTTTGCACATCGTCTGTTGTTGTTTTTTGCACACTGCCTGTTGTCTCTGTCTTTCTTTTGCTACACAATTGTATTGTTGTTGTTGTTGTTTTCTCTTTGTACTACTTATGTCTGAGAGCTAGCTAAATAGCATTTCATTATACCATATACCATGTATATGAGTGTAATGACAATAAACTTGAACTTGAACTTGAACTTCCCAGACTGTCCTCACTCCTTGTTGAAACAAGGGTATAATACACTTTTCTGTAGAAAATGTGATTGATTCTTCACTATTCTAACCCAGGCAGTGGTGCGTGATTGTCAATAAACCCATGGAGTGTGGTTTATATGGTAAGCAGGGAAAGAGGAGAATCTCGTCACGACATCTGTGGTGGACTCCAGTGTAATTGTAGCCCCATTGTTTCAATCTGACCCCCTGATACAGAGGCTTGAAGAATCACATCTGTGTATGGAGATACAGTACTGGACCATATCCCACTGCATGAGTGCTCATCAGATTAACTCCCTAAATCCTTCATCTTTCCTGGGACTGTGCCCCCTTCCCCATTAACTGGTGATTTCTTTCTGGTGCCTGGTAAGTAGGTTGAAGCTGAGTTGCTCCGTGTGGTTTTGTGTGGGTTTGGGTTATGCCACTGAGACTGACAGTGACATCCCTGATGTGGTAGATTTTCCCCAGCTGTTAGGAAAGAGTGGTCACTGGGGCAGATTTCAGAAGAGACTAAGCTAGTAAGTCAGCAGCACATCAGGAAGACCATAGTGGAGATGAATGTAACACTGGTAGAGAACCAGATTAAAGGTCCCAATAATCCTATATTGTGTAAGAAATGATTTATTGTCCCAGATTTGTTAAAAAGGGAACACGGGGGGGGGGAGAGGTTACAAGTGGTACTGTCATGCAGTTCATCCATTTTCATGTGATCATGGGACTTAGACAAAAGTCTAAGCAGAGACTCCAATTGATCTTTTATCAAGGCATATGCAAAGAGCTAGAGCAATGTTGTTAAACAGTGTGGACTGACAGTTATTAAACTCCATGCCTTTATGGTCTCTTATTGGCACCACATTAGAGAGAATTGGCAAGGGTCTTTGAGGAATGGATTGGTAAGACACAGCAAGGAAATGAATTTATGCAAGGTGTAGCAGATGACACAATGAAGTACTCTGAGGAAATGTCAGTGCATTACATTCTTTGCTATGATTTTCTCTCAGGTGGAAATATTGGGAGAAATTATTACTGATTACGTCCCATCTGATGAGTGAGGTCACTACTCTTGTGCTTTACAAGGATGTGCACTTTGTTGCATATACCCAAATTGATGGCCTTGTTGAATGGATTAAAGGGATTTTAAAGTATTAAAAGCTCAAAAAGAAAGTGCAACAAAAGGGACAGAGACTGGGGCTATCAAACGTCCAGGAATGTCCATGGTGGTTGATGGGATTTTCTCTGAGTATGTACAGGAGAAATCCTTAAGCCTACTCCTGTACATACTGTATAGCTCATGAGCTATGGGACTAAACTTATGGTTAGGAAGATAATATCACTGAGTATTTTATCCATATAAAATGTAGAATTGCTAAAAACAAACACTCATTTCATATCATCAGCATACTTGGGTGTGAGAGTTGACACTTGATGATCAGGTGATGCTCCTGATCTCCATCATAGAAATCAGACTGTTTGCTTAAGGGGTTTTGAAGTTTCTAAAACAGGTCAGACTGGACAACTCAATCTAGAGTATCTAGACTGGTCCTTCAGCACAATAGTGAGTTATATTGCAGCCACTGAACAAAGCAAAAGGTGACCAGAGACAAACGAGGAGCAACTGACTAATATAAAATTACTGTTGAATAAAACTGTGGAATTATTTACTACCTAACCAAATTATTGAGACCCCACATAGTAGAACCATGTATCAATGCCCCTTCTGGTGTGATGATTCATGTCCCTGGCTTCTGTATGCTAAAAGCTACATGGGAGGAAATTCAAACAGAGGTAAAAAAGGCACTAAACGTCAGCGTCATTAAGCATCCAGCCCTGTAGTGTTAAATCACAAACTTCCAGTTTCAGACTTCATATGACTTTGTAATGGCTTCATATGGCATTCCATTTGTGATACATGGGGTACCTGCCACCTTCTGTCATATGATGAATAAACTGTCTAAGATTCAGTGTTTCAGATAATATTCAGTATGGATTGCAAGACATATCTTAGTGGAACTCTGAACAGTCCGTTTTAAGACTGCAGTGTTAGTGTTGAATTCTATAATAATAGATCCAAGGACACAGGATGTATATCTGGAGGTGTCTGGTCTAGTCACTACTATTAGAGAGTTGTCTTAGGTGGAGAAGGAGATAAAGAGCATTTTTTTTCAGGCTGATTGGACACTACCTCTGCTTATTTCTTATTTTGGAGGTAGCGGGCAGTAACATTGACCAATATAACTTGGAAATCTACGTCCTATAAAGCATGAAAAATTGCCAAATCAAAAAAAGGCATTGTGTTGGTATCCATTGCTAGATGTATTGGACTTTGATAAGTAATTTGTCCTCCATACAGACACCATAGAGACTGGAGTGGACATGGTGCTGTCTAAGGAAGAGGTGGTATTATTCCTGTCTAGAAGGCTGCTGCAGTGGTTACTTGCCCTCCAGCCTTAAAGATGTACAGAGGCTCACAGTTAGGGTAGCAGACATGTCACTGGTGAAGACTAGTCTGGGTGGGTGACTGACTTTCCCCTCTTGGAGTTAAAGGATTGGAAATGTATCTATGCATTAGTAAAGTAATATTAGATTGCTTTTATAAAATCATCTATGCAGTAGCAGAAGTAAACATAGGTTGTTTTTGCAGACGTTTGTCTTGCTTTCTTCGCACATATGCTAAATTAAGATTAAGTGTCAAGCAGTTTGTCTCGTGAGCTGTCTCTGTAAGGCGAATCTGAACTAAACAACTATCAAAGGGCACCTCAAGGTCCTCTTGAGGTTGTTGCTTAGCAACTGACAAGAAGATTTAAAATTGGGTATAGATTTATGCCATATTAGGTATTTTTGCTTTTTAGTGTATATTGTATGCTGTCATCTACCTATATAAAAACTTTTTTTTTCTCCTGTGTTCTGAGAGACAAAAAGGCTTCTTTAGACATCAACATAAACTTTTTTTTTTTAACAAACCTTTCACACCTCGTTGTTGGCCTGATATTTCTGCTTCTCAAATGGGACCTTTTCCTTTACTCAGCCTTCAGAAGTGATCTGGGTGAGCAGATACTGTATGTGGAAGATTCTCTATGGTCTAATCACTAGCATTTTTGCAATACCTCCAGTGCATCAGCTGATCAACCAACTCTCATCGAACTCTTACCGTAATCACAAGCAGACAACCAGCCAGAAGGCTGAATTCGTCAGCAATTCAGGACACCTACTGAATGTCCTATATCAAAATTGTATGTGCTTCTTTTTATTGCAAACTATTTTCACCCATATTGCTTTGATGGGACGACCACTTTAGATATGTGAATTACTCGGGGCTCCTTAAGACCAGCATTGCATTGACATTTTAATTGCCTCGAAAATTATT